ATCTTGAGGAAAAAGCACCTGGTTGAGAGTGTAGCTATTTCCATAAACCTCCACTCCCTAACAGAGGGGACAGGGAAGGAGACAGGAAATGGGAGGAGGAGGTACCCTCCCCTCTCAGTACAACCAGCCCACTCCAGAGCCAGCCTGGGTCTCCCCTTCAGGCCCCCAGTTGGTGCATTCACTTTGGCATTGTGCACCTGTAGCACACCCACACACGAATGTACACACACACACCCCAGTCCCCTCCCCACACACACACACATGCACACACACACACACACACACACACAAATGCCTGGTGTCTTCCCAGAGTCTACTCAGGAAGCAGGTGGTGTTCCATCTTCACCATTACCCTCTGCTCCAAGGGGTCTCCTTGGCCCACAGGTTCCCAAGACCCAGCCCCAGGCTTGGCACATGCTGGCATTCCCAGGCTTTTGAGAAGAGGGTGACAGAACAGGGTACTCAGCAGAGACAGGTGGTACAGAGTGTAGGATTATGTTCATATAAGGCTTTGGTACAGCACCGGTTAAATGTTCTTATCATTTGACTTCTAAGTTGTCTCTTAGAAGAAAAAAAAAGCTTACTGAAAAAATAGTGTTTTTATTTACTTTTGAGTTACATACCTGAAGTTCAAAAAGTAAGCCTCTAGTTGCCATTCAGATTCACACTCAAAGGTGTTCTGTGTGCAGCTGTACAATTTGTTGATTTGTCTTTAATAGTTAACCAAAGTCAGCCAACCAGTACCATGAAGTCAGCTGCCCATGATTACTGACTTTACCCAGTGCATACATACAGAAGAGAGAGAGAACACAAAAGCCACACCTATGTCTCCCACCCCAAACCCCTAGGGGAAAAATAGAGGACAAAATACAGCAAGATTTAAGGAACCAGTGGGACGAAGGAGGTTCAGTCCAGCTGGCCTCATCAAGAACAGCACCATAAAGCACCCTAGCGCAGTTACGTGGTAGTTATCGACATTCAAGAAATGGAAACGAGGTTTGAAAGGTCTTCACAAGAAGACCTGGCATGGATCGGGGAAAACCCCCAAAGAAAGTTGAAGAAGGAAAACGTGTGCCATGACAGCAGGCACTCCCAACAGCACGCTGAGTCGTACTCAGATTCCCAGAAGAAATGAGGCGAGAGGCCCCTGGACATCCAGAGGCGCAGAGCTGTTGGGGTCTCGGGAGGTGGCCGTGGGACCCCTCCTGGCCCACCCTCTGTGTGTCTACAGACCTCTGGGTGAAACAGGGAAAAGAAATCCACACACATTGCTTCCCGGTGTGCTATGGAAGAATCATACCCAGGGTGATAAGGTGTCTCCTGGTGGAAGAGAAAAAGTCGGGGACGAGAGGAACCGGGCGTCACTGACATGAAGCTGCTATAGCCCCTTCAGGTCAGCGGCTGTGGAAAGAAGGAGCCACTGGTGGGAGCGCACCCCCCGCCTTGTGCCCCTTCCTCTGGCCCCACAGATGGCAGTTCGGAAATGAAGTCTGAACAAGGAGTTAAGACCTTTGGAGATTCATGTATACAACTTGGCAAGGGGGGCTTTAAACTGCTGTTCTTCCCTAAACCAGCCATTCAGTCTAAGGTCCCAGTGATCAAGACCACTGTGCAGAGTGTCCCCCCAGGCCCTGGGCACAGAAGAGACCCCCCCCCAGGCCAACATCGGGGCCAGACCCTCAGGGACAGGCAATGTGCTGCATGGGTTCTCCTGCTCTCCCACCTACTGCCTTGACGTTGCCCAAACTGGCTCAGCACGAACACCTGCATCAGAGAGGAGATATAGGGCCAGAGGGCAGTGGGAACCCCATTTCCCCAACTACTGCTTGATGCCCAAGGGGGAAGGATACACCCACACCGACTTTGGGTGAGGAACACCCAGTGCCTCTGTCCACTCCAAACCCTGGTTCCGTGAAGCAGACAGAGGCAGCAGAACTAAAACAACTCCACAGACACCCTCGGCACCCACCAAAGGGGAAGAGCACCAGCGTTTGGTGTGCCTCTCACCACGCGGGCACCAAGGAGCAGCCACAGTCTGTGGGGTGGCCTCAAAGACCAAGTCAGCACACTCGTCCCACCAACCTGTCGTGTTAACTGAGAGGTTCAAAGGCAGATGCTGTTCATCTACATATAATCAGATCTCCATCTTCCATTGGTCTCACGTGCCTTTGTGAAAGGCTGGCTCCGCAGAGAAATTGGAGGTCTTGGCTGGGCTACCTACCCTTTCCCACCTTCCTGAGGCTCAGGGTAGAGATAAACTTTACAACCCCTCCAAGCTCTAACGTTTCAAGGTAGGGCTGTGTCACTTGTCTTCACTTTTCTTCCCAATACTGACTCCAGTTAGAGGCAGAGGGGTGGGATGGGAAGGCTGAGAGCAGTGACTCCTTGGTGCGAAGGACCACACCTCGGGTTTCATGTGAAAAGAAGCAGTTTCAGAGTAACCCCAGACCTAGCGCAGTACTGCGATGCAGGACACCAGAAGCGGGACAGGGTCTGTGGAGAAAGAGAGGGTCGCTCTGAGAGCCAAAAGAACGGTAATGAAAGCCCTCTGGTCGTGGAGGTTCGGGCAGGCTGGACAGGACAGAGACTGTGTTGTCCTTTTCACCCGGCCTCCCTGAAAAGTCTTACAAGGAACATCTGGCTGCATCCTCCCCTGGTCTCCTGAGAAGACTGCAGGAACAGCTGGTCACCTGCCAAGCACGGCCACGGCCACTGGGCCCCATGCTGGAGCCCTACCAACGCAGACTGGACAGAGACCCCTGTCCTTCAGTGTCCTTGGGAAACGGGAAGTGTCTTGAGCAGGCATGCCAGGGGCTGAAGGACAGGCCTGAGTGAATGCCAGGACCCCTTAAAGCGACACTGAGGCACGAGAAGGGTCAGGGGTCAGACTTGAGCTGCACCCTCACCCTCTTCCCATGGTACTCCAAAAAAAGCAAAAAAAGCCCCACCCATGGCTGAGGCATGCGAGCTCCTCTAAATGACTGAGTTCCCTAAGACAAAACCTCTTGGCCTATGTGACGCCCTGCTTGGGGAAGAGGGGTCAGTATTGGTTCTTCAGTTGACGAGCGGGATGCAAGCAGAGACTGCACCCACGGGTGTCTCCTGGCTGCCGGCACCGTGTGGCCCTGCACCAGCTTCAAACACATGACCCTTGGCAAGTCACAGAAAGAGCTAGCACCCAGGGACAACTGTTGAGCCGCAAGGTGCGAGATCCTTGCAGCGTATGTGAGGTCTTGAGTTCTCAGAGAGGTATTCTTCAGGGCACACAGTTTCCTGCTCAAATGCTAGTGAGTACCTGTTCCCCCAGAAGCTCCAGCTCTGGGTCAGACTCTACGATACTCTGCTCTGTTCTAGAAGTCCCTGGCCAGGTGCCAGAAGGAGGCTTTGTTAAAATTAAATTTTCATATGTACACATTTCCATCAGAAAGACCCAAGCAACTCTGAACAGAGAATGTCTCAAAAGACAGATGAGGCATGGAGGAAGGACGGGTAGGCAGAGAGGGCACCAAGGCATGAGCTAGAACCCAGGCCACCCCAGGTGGTCGTGCTCCAAACATGTCTAAGCACAAGTACAAAAATAAAGCAAACTATGACTGCATATAGATATATAGATATATAGACAAGCTAGCTAGCTAGACTTCATATATATGCGTGTGCCAAAGGCACAACCCCGCTCCTCTCCCCGGCTGTGGTCCGCTGCCCTCCCAACTCCCACTCCCCAGAGGCCCCAGCTCCCAACCACGACTATTGCATTCGGTCCCTGCACCCACCCACCCCCTTACATAAGCTCCCCTCTCTCCTTAAAATAGAACAAATCATATATATTTATATAATTTTATATACAATCTCCATAAAAAATACACTAAAGATGGCATATTACTAATTTCACCCTCCTACCAAATGAGGAGTTGCCTCGCAAAGAAGACAGTCAATGAAAGAGAGGGCCTGCTAGGCCTGAGGCTACTCAGGCAAATGAGTATGTCCCTACGAATCCTGTACACACACACAGCACACTCAAATGCATATCCCCCACACACACACCCCACACCACAAACGCACCACACACACCACCCTCACACATACACACCACACACATAGGCACCACACATACAGAACACACCACACACACACACACATACACTCTTACTTCCTGAGCCCAGGAAAGGAACATGGACAAGATAGCCGCCTGGGGCTGGAGGCCACAGAGCTGGTCTGGTGACTGCAGTGGGCCACGTGAGACAGCCCCACCTCTCTGCCCCAGCCAGGACACTGTCCGCTCACGACAGACCCTTCAGGTTCTCAGCAGGTAATAGAAATTTCCGATGAGAGTGATGGACAGTTTCCCTTCAAAGAACTGCAAGATGGCTATAAGGACATCTGTCCCCATGCCAGAAACAAGATCTCTTAGATGCTGTAAGCCAAGAGCGGGCAAAAAGTCTCTCAGCCCTCATCACCAACACGAGGAGTCAGCATCGGCCCCCTCCCTCTACACGGGCGGAAACCCCACACACCATCAGAAGCACGCTCACAGGGCTTCTCAGGTGGAAAATGGAAACCACCCGCCACGAGCCCAACCCTTCTCCCCTCTCAGATTCCCTTCCCTACCCAGCCACCTCCCCGTCGCAAACCACACACAAGGTCAGGATCCCTGGAGCCATGAAGAAGTGGAGTGGGAAGGAAACGAGGTAACTGGTGTGTATCTGGGGCAGAAGGGAGAGCATGGCCTGGTCCTAAAATAAAGCCAGGGAATCCAGCACCAGGGAGAGACTGGTGGGACTGGTGGAACACATTTCTTCAAGATTCAAGAGGCCCAGCAGCTGTTTGTGTCACCATCAAGGGGGCTGGGACAGACAGACAGCAATGGACCAGGGCCAGGGGCTGAGAACTTGCAGCACTTCTCCCTACCACCTGGCCCAGCTCTCCCCACCAGCGATCCAGAGCAAACACTGTTTCCTCAGGCTGCTTCAGACCCACCAAGGAAGACTGGCCCAGTGATGTCATTAACGGCTGCTGTCTACCAAGGATTCAGCAGCCCAGATGCGCCGCTCATCTGGAAGGGACAGGCACCAGCAAGGCTGTCTGCACATCCGCCTCACTCTTCCTCATCCTACACAGACACTCCGGGGTATGGGACTGTCTAGGGATCAGGCTCAACCTATTTATTCTTCCAGCTTAGAATGGGTCATGAAAACACTTCTACCCTCTTAGGAAACCAACATGCAAAATAGTCCATTTGCTCATGGAAGCACTGATGAGAGCCCAGAAGTAAAGTACGGGACCAAGATGGACTCACCGCCGGTCAGTGGGATGGTGGTAGACACCCCAACCAAACTCTCAGCTGCTGAAAGCAACTCTTCTCAGAGCAGCAGTGCAGCCCTGGGGGGCTCCAAGCTCCAGCCTCCCTTAATTTGGAGAAGAAAGAGCTGATCAAGGATGCCCACTTCCTTGAGGGACCCCCCAGGCCCCTACCTACCTCTGCCTCCCTGCTGCTCCCCAACAATCCCTGCCCCCAAAGCTCCATTACATGCAAGCAAAGCAAGCCCCAGATTAGCCACTAGCTTTTCTTTCCCTGTGTTTCTCCCTATGGTAATAAAATGTACTTTATGTACAGTTCTTCCCCAGCCCACCCCCAATCCCCTAAAAGGCTTTTTCTAACAAAACTGGAATTAACAGCTCCAGCTATGCACACTTGGGCCCTGAATTCTAATCCTGGAGAGTGACAAGGTCGCCCTGCTGCTCTCTGAAGTCTGCCTCCTCCCTGAAGCTATTTTGTCAACCTTAAAAAAAAAAAAAGCCTAGTCAGGAAATTTCACATCTGATCCTACCAGGATTCCTCTGTATGAAAAGGGCACAGGAGAACAGCTGAAATCAGTTTAACACCAAATATTTTAGATACCAAATCAAAAAGAGACAGCATTGAAAAATATTCATGGTGACTCCAGTCCACCCTACTTTAGACGCCCCCATGCACAGGATCATGGGTCATGGGCCTCCTCAAAGCGGGGGCAGACCCTGCCCGCCCATCGTCCCCCTTTCAGACTCATGTCTGAGAAAAGTTGAGAGACACAGGCTGAGGGCTTGCAGACAGAGATCACCACTGAGTGCTGGGCTGTGTCCATACTCAACCCCACTGACACCGCCAGCAAATCGAGACAAGGCCCTACCTTCTCCTTATTGCTTGCTTTCCCCCAAACGGCTGCAACCTCAGGCTCCCTCGGGCAGCACTTCGGCCTTTCCCTAGTCTCCAAGTCACCTAGCCTGAAACAGTGCAGCCTCCAGGCACGATGCAGGAGGAAGGGTAGGCTAATTCTAGGCAAGGTTACCGGATGGGCTGAGGGGCAGTCTGGAGGACACCTGATCTCCCATGGACTGGGGCCTGAAAGTCAGAGGAAGCTTCGGAGTTGTCACTGCACTTGGTCATGGGCAGAGCGCAAAGGGCATCTGGTCCTTAGAAATGGCTGCACCCCCACGCACGTACATTCACACCTGCACACATCTGCACTGAAGCGTGTGCCTCTAACAGTCCTGTCTCCACCTCATGGACAGAGCAGACTGTATTCTGCCGATTTCCATCATAGTCCTTACAGGAAGTGCTGAACCAGCTCCCCGGGGTGCAGGAATGCCCACGTCCATGTACACTGTCACAAGAAGGAAGCCCTCTTGGGAGGAGTAATGAGTCCAAAGCTATTGAGAGATAGGTCGGCCTGGTGCCCTTCCCCAGTCCTGGGGACGCCCAGCAGAGCTGACCCCCAGCGGCCAGCAAAAAGCACAGCTCCAACCACTTGGTCTTCTGTGCTGAGGTACCAAGCCTGGCCGGGGGAAGGCAGGCAGGCAGGAGTCAGCACCGTTGTTAACTGCTGGCGACGGCGCATGGCAGGGCCCTGAATGCCACCCCTTCTGTCTCCTCTCCTGTTGTAACCTCAGGGCCTACAGTCCCAGCACAGGGCTCAGAGAGGGCAGCCTAGTTCACCCTGAAGACACACAGCCCTGACGTTGCATGCACGGTCCACCAGGACCTGCTCCACTCAAGAAACAGCCACCATGAGAGTACAGACAAAGGCCACAACCGACCCCTGGGCCCAGTAGAGGTGCCCGTGAGCCCCCCGTCGGGCACAGCGGCAGAGGTAGTGCTGCCTCGGGGAGGAAGCAGAGTCGCTGCTTCGCTGGAGCCGCCGCCCGGGTGGGGCTTGGACATGGTGCCCAGAGAAGTACACTGGCCAGAAGGGGCAGGTTCCACCAGGTCAGTGGTGGGCAGTAGACGAGGCACAGCCACAAACACTGCTCCTGCCACTTCCTTCTCCACGATGGTCATGTTTGGAGAGAAACTAGTTGTGTGATGTGTGAGGCAGAGCCCCAAGGGTGGAATGGGTCCCCACTCACTGGGCGTGAGAAGAAAGCACTGGGCTGAGGATTCACCCCTAGGATGGATGCTCCCAGGGGGATGATGCTCCCACACTCAGGTTAGCTTGCCAAGGACCCCAGACTGAGAGCCAGAGAAGTGTCCAGTGCTGGGACGGGGCCAATACCCAGGCAGGTAACTGGGGACAGGGGCTGTCCCCAAACCCACCAAGACAGCAGCACCAAGAAGGAGGTACTTGCAGGAACCTGATCGCCACCGTGATTCTCGGGTGGCCAGAAGGGCAGACTCTGGCACAAGAGGAAGAGAAAGAGGCCAGACGCACCCTAGCCACACACAGGCCTTCTGCCCGCCGAGGGCAGCACACACCATGCACGCACGAGAGACAGAGGCCTCTCCTGTCGCCGTCAGACCACCTCGCAGAGGCTTCTGGGTGCTAAGAGTCTGACTTAGGAAGAGAGCTCAGAGAAAGGATGGAGCCCGGCTCCCACCTCCCACCCCTTTCACCTTCAACCCCAGCCCTCAGCCAGTTCTATACAAACAGCCCTGGAGGAAGGTGGGGGTGCCCAGAGCACCCCCAGAACCCAGTATCCAGGCCCCCAGCTTTATCTGACCCCATCCTGTGGGAGTTCAGGTCTGCAGGGGGGCACATGGGGAGCGTGGAGAGGAGTGTGGGCAGGCTCCCCACACGTGGCAATTAATCAATCTGGGGAATTAGCTCCCACAAAAGGAGAGGAGGAATCCAATCAGAGCTTTGGAACAGCGCTCCGGAGGGCACAGGATATAAATAGAGCCGCAGCGCTGGGTGCTCGGCACAGATGGCTCTGGAGCGGGAGGCCCCCGGCCACAAGGCTCCGGGCCCGGCTGGACCCCAGGGGCTAATGAGGAGCTCCAGTCTGGGCACAGGGCCACCCCCAGCCCTGCTTGTTAAGCAGCTTCACTTCCGAGCCAGACCATGAAAGCAAGAGAGACGCCTGCCTGGCCGCCCACCAGCCACCCTTCTCCGCCCGGGACCAAGAAATGGAGGCAGTGTTTAGCTCCATGGTAATGGACTGCTGAGCCCCCCGAGCCGGCAGCAGTCACCGTGGCAAGCCCTCCCTCTGCCCTGGACACAACAAGGTTGAGACAAACGGGGGACCCAGCTGAGAAGGGATAAACCCCATTTCAAGGGGACTCATTCCCGAGACGGACACCAGAGCCCCCGCCAGCTCCCCCCAGTCCTCCTTGCCCAGCCCACACGCCAGCTGCCCCCTCCCTCCTTCCTCCACTGACCACAGGAGTGAGCAGCATTTGCTCCCACGTACATATATATACATAGAGAAACCCACAAACTACACACATACACATTTGCATCTATAGCTATATATATGTGGAGTCTGGAAGACGGCGGAGTACAGCCCTCTTTCAGGACTCGAGAAACTCGACAGAAGCAGAGCACGATGCGAGCCACTGCTTCGCTTTCACTCCACTGATAGCTGAGGAGGTGGGGCAATCCATCTAGTGAAGCGGGGAGAGGGGGGGAGGAGGCAGGTCTCTCCCTGTCCCCAGTTCACTTCCCAAACTCCACCCACAGCCATGGCGGCCAATGTGCCCTCTGCCCTCTCTCCCGGACACGAGGCCAGCAGGCTGGGAGGCGGAGGAGATGCCCGCTCAGACCAGAGGGAGAACAAGTGGAGCCAGGGTCTGAACAGCCCTGGAGGCCAACAGCCGGGCCACCGCTCCCCCGGCAGGGGAGGACGAAGCCCCGCACACCCATCGCCCCGTGCCCACCCTTGCCCCTCGACCAGCAGCCTCGCTCAGGGGACACTTAAGCGGCAACATCACAGCAGAGTGGCGTGGCCGGGGTCATCGTGCTCCACGCTACTGAGTATTGCCTTCTGGTCTTCCGGGAGCTGGCGGTGGCACAAGTCCGACAGACGGGCGAAGGGGTCGGGCCGGGAATGTCTCTTCTTCCTCCGGAGGCAGACAGCTTCATCGGGCCACAGGACCTGAGAGTTTGGAAGGTGCTGAGCCTGGGAGGCAGAACCATCTGTGGGGGTGGGGAGCAGGTGTGAACAAGACAGGAAAGGAGGAGAGTATGGTAAGAGCGAGAAGGCAGCAGTGCACCCCCGCTGTCCCCGGCAGGGCATGTTGCCTGGCCCCCAGGGCCACAGGCTGGAGTCACCCACCTGCCCAGAGACCAGAGCAGAAAGTGCAACAGAGCAGACAGCGCCCCGGCCACCCCAAGTGCTGCTCTAGTGAGAGCCGGAAAGCAGGGTGGGCATGGCTGCACCCCCTGCAGACTCAGATCTGGTCAAGCAGCATCTCTCATCTTGTATTTGATATTGAATATATTCAGTACCTTTCATCTAATTTTTTTTCTATTTTTTTAAAGAAATATTTACCCATCTCTCTCAGTGCCTCCTGGGTACCAGGCCATCATTCCAGGCACAGGGTTGGGACTCAGCACGCTTACCCCCCACCCCCTCCCACAAGCAGGGATGCATGTCTCACAAGATTTTACTTGTCTGCATCACAGTCAGGTCTGGCCCACCCTGGACTGCCAGGCCATCCCTCTGCCGCATGGTGCTTCTGGGGACACAGAAGTGAAGCCCTCTTGTTCTGGAAGGTTATACTTTAACGTGGGGATGAGGAGGAACAGACAATAGAGATTTGAAAACCACAGCCGTAAACCCTTCAGATGCTGCAAGTGCTGCCAAGAAAGGTAGCACAGAACCCTGAGACAGAAAATCTGGGGCGCTGCTTCTGCCCTGGAGGAGCAACACCGAGGTGAGTCTCACATTACGAACCTTCCACAGGCCTCGGGGAGAAGTGTTCCCTCAGCGTGACAACCCCGAGCGAGGGGCAAATGCAACATGACCTGGAGACTGAAGGGGGGCCGCCACACTCATGCAGAGGGAGGGCAGGCAGAAGCCTGTTCTGGTTGCAGGGGGACCTTCCGGAGGTTTTAGCCAGAAGTGTGTGTGTACATGTGCTGCATGTGTGTGCGCGCACACTCACGGGACTCTCTAAAACCACTCTGGCCACTGTGTGTTGAATACACTGCAGGACCTGGGACGGAAGCTGGAGGACCAGATAGGAGGCTGCTGCTCTGGTCCAGGGGAGAGATGGGAATAATTGAGAACTTAGCTTTAGCATCTGAGACAGAGAAAAGGGAACAGATATAGTGTGTGTCTTAAAAAGTGAGTCAACAGGGGACTTCCCTGTTGTTAACACTTTGCCTTCCAGTGCAGGGGGAGTGTGGGTTCAAGCCCTGGTTGGGGAGCTAAGATCCGACATGCCTTGTGGGCAAAAAACCCCAAAAAGTATAGAAACAATGTCATAAATTCCATAAAGCCTCGAAAAATGATCCATATCAAAAACATCTTTAAAAAACAAAGTGGAGTCAACAGACCTCACGAGATGGACAAGATGTGAAGAGAAGGGGAATCAAGGGGCCTGAGTGACTAGGTGGGGAGGAGAGGCTTTTATGAGACTGGGCAAGAACCGGGAGAAGCAGACGTGGAAGATCATCCATAACTGAGACAGAACACCCAGCAGCATGGGCAGCAGGCACCCAGAAATATGAGACCAGCTCATAGACAAAGGCTGGGCTAAAGACAGAGCACTGTGGAGTTGTAAACACATACAGGGGACAGGACCACTTAAAAAAAGAGAACATAAGCATCTCATGGGACTTTTTTTTTTTGCCAAAAAAACAAAAAACAGATGATAGATAAATAATATATAGGTAGATAGATAGAATGGGCTTAAATGGGTTGAAAATTCAGCTTTGGACTCTTCTCTCCCAAAAACCTAAAAAAATTTGTTTCTCTAAACTTCAGTATCCTCAGCTATAAACTAATAGGATAATAGTACCACCCAGAGGCCAAGTGAGAACTGAGAGCTCACTGCATCCCAGAAATGCAAGGGCCTCCGTGTCTCATTCTTTCATATTCTATCTCTGTGATAGATAAGATAGATCAGCAAGGAAGCCATGCAGTGGTCTTCTCAGCCTGTCACAGCACTCCAAAAACCACTGGTAGAATGAGAGCATGTGATAAATAGTAAAGAGTTTTCTAAGTCTGAAATAAGGCTTAACTATTTTTGCAGTATCTTAGAAGCTGTGTACAGCTGCTGGGTAAACAGCACCCATTTCAGCAGAGATGTCTTTTCTATGAAATAAGGCAATTTCACTCTAACTCATGGAGAGAAGTCTGCCCCCACCTCAGACACTGAGTCCATGCCACAGTGACCCCTTAACACTGAGTTCAGTTCAGATGCTCAATCGTGTCTGACTCTTTGTGACCCCATAGACAGAGGCACGCCAGGCCTCCCTGTCCATCACCAACTCCCAGAGTTTACTCAGACTCATGTCCATTGAGTAGCTGATGCCATCCAACCATCTCATCCTCTGTTGTCCCTTCTCCTCCCACCTTCAACCTTTCCCAGCATCAGGGTCTTTTCAAATGAGTCAGTTCTTCGCATCAGGTGGCCAAAGTACTGGAGTTTCAGTTTCAGCTTCATCATCTGTCCTTCCAATGAATATTCAGGTGTGATTTCCTTTAAGATTAACACTCAGTAGGACCCCAGAATCCCCATGTCCAACCAGAGGCCTGATAAGAGGAAATACATAAGGAAACAGGGATCTGTCCAAGGCATATGGCAGACTGAGGGGAAAAGTACTATTTATATTGTTAAAAAAATACACTAGGACTTCCCTGGTGGTAGAGTGGATAGGAATCCACTTGCCAGTGACGGGAACACAGGTTCGATCTCTGGTCCAGGAAGATCCCACATGCCACAGGGCAAGTGAGCCGTGTGCCACAACTCCTGAGCCTGTATGCTACAGCTACTAAAGCCGTGAGCCTAGAGCATGTGCTCCACAACAAGAGGAGCCACCACAATGAGAAGCCTGCACACCACAACAAAGAGTAGCCCCTGCTCACCACTACTAGAGAGGCCACGCAAAGCAACAAAGACCCAGCACAGTCAAAAATAAATATTTTTAAAAATACACTAAAACAATGCCATTATTTTCTAAAGGTGTACGCACAAAAGGGTTCTGAACACACATGCCCCCAAGAAGGATGGTCCCTAGGTTGGATGAAACAAAACTGGGAGGACCATCAGATTTTAACCTTATCTTTCTCCTTTCTTGATATGAAAATTCTATTTGTATATCACTTGGCAATTAGCATTAAAGAGAAGCAAAGAGGAAGACACACTAGAGGAGCTGACTCTGCACAGAACCCAGAGCTGGGATCTGTAAAGGCAGGTTGGGGTGGGGAGGGAGGGATGGCACGCCTCTCCACATTTACCGGATCGTTTCTTTGACTTCGAGGAGCCCTTGGATGACTTTTTGGGCTTCTTTATCCGTTGGTATTTCAGAGCCTCCAGCCTCTCAGGTGCAGCAGCATTCCCGGGTGCAGGCAGATGTGTCCTGGAAGGGACAATTGGAGAGGCACAGGTAAGCGTGCAGACAAGGGAGCTTTGGAGGAGGAGCTGGAGAAAGCCAAGCAGCTGCCCCGGAGAAGACAGAGCACAGGTCCTGACAGCTGCCTCCCTGCTGCTCCTGGAAGACAGAGCCCCAGTGGAGAGCTCCCACAGCGGGAGGCCCATCTGCCGGGCCACCAGAGGACCTGGGAGAGGGAGAGAGGCAGGCTTTAATGGTCAACCCGTCATGTGGCCCTCAAGCTGGGGAAGGCAGTTTGGAGAAGAAAGCAGCTTCTGTGTCTTAAGTTCTTGGACCATCACACAGTTAAGACCTTTAAGTGAAAAGTACAGGAGCAGGTTAAAAGGGTTGGGGGGAGAGCAACCCCACCCCTGACTGTCCCGACCCCCACCCCCACCCCCACAGGAAAGACAGGCCCAGTCAGACCAGGGCCGTAGTGCCCCCTGAGATCAGCTACTCCATTGCCAAGAGTCAGGCAGAACCCTGCAGCCAACAGCAGCAAATGGCTGTCATCCACCCACATTTCAGCAGCAGGCGGGGCTCAGACTTCATGGTCGCATGTGAGAACAGACAAGGGCAGAAGTGGATTACGATAGTCAGTGTCCAAATCGGGCAGTCTGGCAAAGCCCGGGACACCTGCAGCCAGTGTCTCCATGGCTTAAGATACAGAGAAACCAAGGTTGTTGGGAGAGGAGACCTGTGTCCGAGTCTCCTCCAGCCCCAGCTGTGGAGTGGCGGTAGCAGCTCACCTAACAGAGTGCCTGTGCAATTAGGACAAAGGCAACACCCGGAGTGCATGCCACCAAGATGACAGAGAGCTCAGAGAGAGCTGAGAGGATGGGCTATAATGACCTGCACTCACAGGAGAGAAGAGCTCAAGAGTCAGAATAAAATCTAGAAGATCAATGCCATTTCTTCTCACAGGAAGCCAAACGTGGAGTGTGAGAACTAAAGGGGGAAAGAGAGACTCGAGTCGCTCTTTCTTTCCGGCCCGTACTGCTGTCAGCACGCCATCAGGGAATCAGGGCCACCCGCAAAATCCTGAGGGCTGGGGGGCAGTCACTCTCCCCATCTCCCTCCCCACACCTGACTCTTAAATCTCCACTACAATCAATGCTTGGTAAATCCTGATTGAAGGAAGGAGGACAGCCAAACCTGTGAGGGGAAAAGCAGTCCCCAGGGGTGAGCAAGCAATCTAAGGTTAAAAACGAGAGCGGGGCAGGAAGACCCCAGCCGCATCTCCCCAACCTCAGGGATCTTTGTAGGGACAAGGAAGAAATCACGCAGGCTAATTGTAGCCGAGCCTCTGGTTCCTGGGGCTTCTTGGTCCAGCTGACAGTAAAGCAACCTGCATCTTCTCTGACGGATGCCATCCTTCCACGGCCTTTCTACAGATACAGTGCAGGGAAGCTCCTCCCGCGTCCAGGTCAGAGACAGCATCTCAATTTTCATCAGCCCCCTCGAAACACAGAGCTAAGAGCCTCCCTGCATGCACACGCGGCCTCAGAGAGAAGTAGGCCAGCTCACCATCAGAGGTCTGGTCTTCACCCAGAGACCCAACTGCCAGCTCCCCCTTCCCTCCTCTTTCACAGACACCGCAGTCTACCCCCGGAGGCCCTACACAGCAGCAGCTGGAAGGAAATCTGGAAGCAGACCAAGAATGGAGACAGCCAGGCCACGAGGGAGCGTGACTCCCTGGAGCTGATGCGGCAGCCTCACCCCGCTCATCCTGGACTAAGACTTCCTGGTGCTGCCTGGAAGGAAAAAGATGTGAACGCACGGCTCAGGTCATCCGCCTGCTGGTGCTGGCCGGCCTCTTCCAGAGGCAGACAAGTGAGCGGCACACCATCCGAGGAGGCATGTGACAAGCCAGCAGGCCAGAGGCGAGGGTGCAAACCACACAGTGCAGGGTGACCCACTGGGCATGAGAGAAACAAGTACAGGATGCCCCCCAAAACTGCAAGGGATTCCCCCAGGCAGCTAAGGCTTCCAGGGTCAGTATCCTTGTCACTGTGATCATTGCTCCCATCATACAGAATCTGTTCACCACTCACCATGCCAGGCACTGATCTGTGTTCTCTGCAGTAATCCCCCTGAACCCTGACAGCACCCCTAAAGGGCAAGCATGAAATGGACCCCATTTTTCAGACGGAGAAACTGAAGTTAAAGAGCTTATGCCATTTGTCTCATAATCCAGTTGTCAACGCGACACAGCCAAGACTCTCAATGTCCGGTAAGCTGTGTGCGCAGCTTCTTCCTGATGGAACAGGCACCAGCCCCACGGGAGGAGGACACTGCTCTCACACCGCAGCCCAACCATGCCCCGAGCAGTCAGCCTGCCCTGGACACCCGCGCTGCCACCGTCTTGGACGTTCCCTGTGTCGGTGACAGAGCCAGAGAAGACAGCCTGGGGAGGGAAGCTGGCTCAGGCGTGCCCTCAGCAAGGATTCCCAAAAGGAAGAAATAAGCCACTGGGAGGTGGACGCGGGGGCAGCCAGTTTTCCTTGTGAAGCAACCAAGCTCCAGCCCTTCCAGGACACCTGCTGTCCACCTGTTCCTGCGTTTGGCTCGGTGTTCAGACTCTGACACACAACAGGAGAGGCCCCGAGGCACTGGGCTGCTTGCCCATACAGGAGGCAGAGATAAAAAGGCAGGGTCTGGAAGGACAGGGGTGCGGGAAGCGGGGCACAGTGGGCCTTCATATTCAGTTAATTAGGCAGAAAAGTCACACGAAGCGTCCCAGCAGGCTGGAAGCCAACTGCCCGCTTCTCTGGAAAGGGGGACCCTGTCCCCTTTCCAGGCTAAGCCCCTGGGCGACTTCCGGGCAATGCACTTTGATGCCTAGGAGCTCAGACAGGGAGGCGAGGCTGGAACTCTCTTTCCATTCAGCCCCAGTCCTTCCACAACACACACAGAGTCATCAAACTTGGACCCCTCCCTCAGAAAGTATGAGCATTACTGGAAGGTGAGGCCTCAAAGCCTGGCGCTCCCGGTGAACTCCAGGTCTATGTGCCACAGTGTTTCTCTGTGGTTCAGACCTACCAAAGATGGCCTGAAATATACCTTAACACTCTTTGACTCTTACTGATGATAAAATTCATGCAAAACCCAAATCAGTCTCACAGTCCCAGAGACCTCTCAGCTGCTTTCGCTGTGCCCACCCAGAGCAGTGGAGGGAAGGCACAGCCCAGCTCAGAAAGGCAAGCCGCAGCGCAGGACGGCCGAGACCCTGGGCCCCTCCTGCCCAAGAACGGTCACCTGCCTGGCAACGGCAAAGCAGAGGGAAACGAGTGCAGCCTTCCTCTCCGGAGTTCACACTCTGCCTGTCTGTCTAGGGCACTGGGAGGAGACCGAGCAAACGCACTCTCATCCACGGGGTGGCCAGGACATGGGCACACCCGCCTTCCATAACCGCACAGCCACCAGGGCTCTGCTGAGGGGCACCCTCCCGCCCACCGACGGCCCCTCCAGTGGGCCAAGTGTGTGGCCTCCCGACTCAGGCCAGGCTTTTACCAACGGGGCCGCCTTCCCTGGGTTCACCCAGTACAAGGGTCCCCAACACACTCCGACATGCCTGCCTCATGGAGGCCACGGTCAGCATGAACAGGAAAGGGGACCCGAGAGGATGGGAGGCCCGGGCGGCTGCTAGTGTTCAGACAGGGAGCTAAGAGCCCCAGCCACTGACAGGCCGAGTCCTCCCAGAAACCACCCGCCACTCCCCGTTCCGAGAAGGGAGCTGGAGGAGGAGGAAAAGGAGAGGAGGAGCGGCCCAGGGCGGCTGTGGGCTGGCAGCAGGGAGGGGGGACAGAGCAAGAACGCACGCAGACGAGACGAGTCACACCTTCTCCAACAGACCCAGAGGGACACATGCAAAGGGGGCAAGACGGCAGCGTCCATGGGGGAGCCCGGCGCCTGCGGGGGCCCCCCGGCCTCTGTCCGAGCTCCTGACAGGCAGCGCGGTGAGGGCCTGATTCCCGAGGCCAAGGAGCCAGCCAGGCCAGGCTGAAACCCAGCTCCCGCGTCACACCCCTGGATTCTGGGCTTGTCACAACAGTGAGGGGACACTCAGCCACCAGATCTGGGACACCAGGGAGGAGAACAGGGCCCAGGCACTTTTCAAGAATGAAGGGGGAGCACTGGGCCTGGAGTCATCAACTCCTCGGGGGGTCAAACTGGAGTCAGGGAGGAGAGAGGGAAGGTGGAGGGCCAGCCTGTCACTGTCACTTAGCTGGCCGCTCGAAACTGCTGTCCCTGGGCTCCCAGAGCGTGGCACCAGCCAGCTTCCCAGGACCTGGACCTCTGGCTGCAGACACCTTCCCAGCTGCAGATCATGAGGAGCTGGCAAACAGGCTCTGGTTTATGGGAGGCCACTCTCATGACTCGAGGACAGGCAGCCCCCTCTGCCTCCCTCGCCCCCTGCTATCTCCAGGTGGGAAGGAGACGAGGCTTCCTCCTGGAAGCCAGAAGTACCCGGGGGGAGGCTCCGCTCCTGTCTGAGTGCCTGGTGCCCGCACTGGCTAGTCCCCAAAAGCATCCATGGCAAAAAGCAGCATCTTCTTAGCCACCATGAGAGTGATGGGGTTAAGGGGACCACAGAAGCCTCTTTAAGAGACTCGGTACCCTTCTGCTGTCAAGTTGCTGAGACCGCCACCTAGAAGAGGAGGCACCCACAGGGGAGCAGAGGGAGGAAAGTGGTGTTTGGTCAGATTCTTGCCAATCCCCTGCCCGGGGCCAGTTCTCTCCTCTAAGGGGCTCCTCCCAAAAGCCCCCAGAGCTGCGGCCCAGAGAGGGCAGGAGTGGCTGCTGCACAGGTCTTGAGAGCAGCGAGCCTCCGGGCGAGGTCTGCACCTCAGTCCTGCAACGGCCAAGAACAGGCTGCCGTGAGGGCTCAGGAGTGGTGACCTTCGCTGCCCAGGGCCCTCACAGGATGATGAGGGGCCTGAACCAGAGAAAGACCCAGCTGGTGAGGAAAGGAGCAGGCCACAGCCCAGCCCCAAGCTACGGGGAGACCGGTTAATAGGATCCCCAGAGGACAGGGAGGGAACAGGGAAGATCAAGGGGCCAGGGAAGAAGGGGGCCTCTGTGCTGGAGGCTGTTGGGAAAACTGGGCAGAAGAGAGCAGGTGCTCACAGATACCCCAGGGCCCAGACAGGTTTCCCAAGTGCAGAGATGCAAAGCGCTCTAGGCATTCTAGGCCCTCGGGTGCATGCAGGCGCCAGGGCTTCTGTGGGAAGCTCTGGACAGCAGGATGCAGGTGTCTGGATGCAAAAACCAGGGGGGCTCTGGGCGGGGCTCGGAAGCTGCAGCTAGGCGGTGGCCCGGCGGGCTGTGGCAACAGCATGATATGGGGAGCCCAGGAAGCCGCAGGGAATCGGAGCGGAGGCTGCCGCCCCACAGAGGACCAAGGGGCTATGGTTTGGATTCCCCCGTAGAGGAAGCGATGGCCCTGCCGAAGCCCGTCCGCCGGTTCGCCCCCCACCGCCCGCCCAGCCGGAGCTCCCTTACCTATTGAGCTGAAGAGAGGCTTGTCTCGACAACACTGCCCAGATAGCTGAGATTAATCAGAAACAAAGCGGTTATCAACACGGGCGCCGGGACCACCCACGCACACCCAGAGGGGAGGGGAGGAGCACGGGGATCAGAGAACCGACAAGCGAGGCCAGAGAATGGGGTGAGGGGCAGGAAGGAGAGAGACAGAGACCCAGACGGCACGATGGGACGAAGCAGATGAGGGCTGCACAAAGCGCAGACGGCAGGGCACGGCCCCCAGCATCTCCTGCAGACAGCGCACGGCTCTCCTCCACCTCCCGAGCCTCCTCCCCCACCGGAGCCGAGGGGTGGGCGGTGAGGCTTGTGCTTCCAGGTACCAGAGTGGGGAATGAAGGGGGCAGGGCGCCGGGCTTCCTCCTCTCGACCACCTCCCGTCTGCCTACCACCAGGCCAGCCTCTGCTCTGGACTCTGTTCCCCGGCACAGGCAGCCACACCAAAGAAGAAGACCAAAGGACGGAACCAGAGGGGGCAGGGGCAGGAGATGTGGGGTCTACAGACGGTGCAGGCTCATCTCAGCAAATCGGGCCAACCCAAAGAAGATGGAGGAAGAGAGACAGAGAGAGAAGGACGGACTCGGGGAGAAGGAAGGAGGAGGGTGGGAGAAGGACCCGAGAGAAAGAGCACGGGCGGGCGTCCAGGCTCACTGGTACCTGGCACACCAGCTGCTACCGTTTACAGTGGGCTCCCCCAGGCCGGCTGATCACAGGGGCTTGTTTGTCTGTCTGTATGTCTGCAGCTTCCTGCGAGGCACACAGATTGGGGTGGGGTGTGTGGCTCGGGCTCAGGGTTCACAGGCCTGAGATGTTGCTTTCAGCCTCCAGGAGGACACAGCCTCTAGAGATGCTGGAGTGTGTGGTGGTGGGTTGTGGAGCAGCGGGGCAGGGAGTGGTGCGGCGCTCACTAGGCAGCAGAGGGCAGGAAGTTAGGGACAAGAGCCTGGGGGCCCAGAGAAGCCAGGCCCCAGGGTCCTGCTTCCAAGGAGAAGGGGTCAAGGAAGAAAAGGAGGCTGGACACGAGGTCTCCGGGCAAACCCTGGAACCACCCAAAGTCAGGCTCCCTGGGAAGCACTGGGTGACCACTCAAGGGACACACATACCCTCCCCCATCTGTGTCCTCTCCCTGGCCGCCCCCCCCAGGCGGGGGTCTCCTGCGAGCTCTGGGCAGGGTGGAGAAGATCCCTCATGCTCCTGGCCAGGTACCTGGGCAGGTAAGCCGCACCCCCACCCCAGTGACCACACCCTGGCGATGCCAAGACCAGCACTCCTCTCCTGAAGGATCTGCAGCATGTCCAGACAAGCCCTGTCATTCGGTGGATGGAGGGGCGGGGGCGGGAGGCGGGGGGGAAGGGGTGGAAGATGATCAGGTGCAGTGGGCATGAGAGACCAGCTCACACTCACCCTGAACTCGGTAAGGGTGGAGGGGGGGCCTCCGGTCTGAGCAGCTCCTCCCCCAACCTTCGAGGGGAAGGCGTCTGTCCAAACACATCCAAGCTGTCTGCAGGCCCCGTGGGGCCTGGCGGAGGGGAGGGGTAGGCTGTGGCCAGAGTGGTGAAGCCCACGGTGGGCCGGAAACTGGGGCTGCCGCTGCGGCTGCTCTGGGACGGGGAGCCCGTGGACGGCGTGGACTTTCGTGAGAAGCTGACGGCGGCCGGCGGCTGCAGCGTGATCTCTGACATCTCGGCCTGCTGCAGAAGGCCGGGGCGGGGCCGGGCCCGCGCGGCCAGCTCAGGGGAGCCGGTGCGGGAGCCGATGGGGCTTTGGGTCAGAGGCGAGAGCCGGGAGGGCTGTAGCACCACTTGATGTAAACTGGGCTCAGTGCGCCTGGCCTGCCGGGGGCTGGGCCGGGGCCGGGGCTGGGGCTCGTACCACCGGGTGTCCAGGCCCAGCGCGCTAGGGCCGCCGTGCGCCCCCGGCTCAGCCGGCTCGGGGTAAGGCAGCACAGGTATGCCCATGCCTTGGCTGGTGTGTCTCAGCTGCCCTTGGCTCACGAGAGGCTGCACAGGCCTGTCCTGCCACTTGGCGGTGGGGGGCACTGGGGCGGGGCCTCTGCCCGGCGATTTGCCGGCCCAGCCCTTGGGTGCCTCCAAAGACAGGATGCCTGGGTAGGCCGCGGGCACCTGCAGGGAGGCGGGCGGCAGTCCTCGTGGGAGGCCGGCCGCAGGCTGCAGGCTCTCGGCCACTTCACAAGGGTGCAGCTGGTGGGGGAACATCATGGCCGGGGTCTCCAGACCCCCGAAGGGGAACTCCGGCCGGCCCCAGGGCTCCGGGGAGCGCCCACCCGTGGGCGTCTGAGTCAAGGGCAGTGTGCTGTTGGAAGCATTCTCTCCATTCTCCTCGGGGATGGTGGGGTGGCCGAAAGGCCCCTCAGCGTGCAGGGGCGGCGAGGACATGACGGAGCTCAGGGGGCTGCCCACCTCCGGCATGTAGAAGGGAGGCGGCTCCACCTCCCCCGGGCTACTGCTGCTGAGGTACCCATAACACTGGCCGTGCTGGAAGGGCCGGGGGGCCGGCGGCCGGGCTTGACCGGTGGCCTGCAGCCGGCTCTCCAGGCCGCCAGGGCCCTCCAGGCCACGGGGCTGGAATCGAGGGCTGTATGCTGGTGGTGGCAGGTAGGACTCCTGGCTGGACGACAGAGGGGTCAGCTGGGACTTGAGGGCGGCCACGGACGCGGGCACCAGCGGGTCCTCGTTCTCCTCATCTGACTGGCGGAACTCGGGGTACATGTCGGTCTCCTCAGCGAAGGGGAAGCCCTCGATGCGCCGAGCCTTGGCGGAGGGCTCCACCTCAGAGGGGTCCATCACGAAGCGGCCGTCCGGGCCCCTGCTGATGAGCTCGATGGGCGTGGTGGCCTCTGCCTCGGCCTCCGCCTTGGCCACACTGTACTTCTTGCTGCTGATGGCTCTCTTGGTCTTCTTGTACAAGGACAGCTCCTTCTCGCGCGAGGGGCTCAGCATCCTCTTGGCTGCCGGCTGGCCCTGGTCATCAGAGGACTCGGATGGGGCACGGAGCGTGCGGATGCTCTCAGGGCTGACCTTGCCAGAGGACAGGCTGGGGGCAGGGAGAGAGCAGGCGGCGTGAGGGGGGCTCGGAGGACATGACTTCTTTATGTTTTTCCCGCCAAGTACCTGAATCACTTGGGAGGGTGAGAGTGAGGAGGAAGAACACAGGAGGGCCACGTGTTCTGGCATGAGATATTCTGGCTGGCTCTCAACTATCTAGGTGGGCGCTGTCCATTTTCCAAACGGACATCCTGTTCCTACACTTATTCCGTCTGCTCCTACTGTTTGCCACCTCTCTCTAGTCACACCTGCAACTTGACTCCTAGATTGCTCAAGAAATGCAAGCTCCTTTTACTATTAACTTAACCAAAACATATTAAGAAGATACATCTGTTAGAATGAGGGGAAAAAAAATCAAAGAAATACATTCTAAAGCCAAAGAGAAACAGTTCATCTGCTCTCTTGAGTTGTCTGCACTACTGCGCCCTCTGTCACTGCGGACAACTTGAAACCACCATGCAGATCAATTATGGTGAAATGGCTGAGCAAGCCCTCCACCCTCCACCCCGGACAGCCATGCCCTCTCCTCCTGGGGAGGCCACTTACGGAGACTCCAGGCTCTTCCTGCAGTGTGTGATGGAGAGTGGAGGGTCTGGAGGGAGAAAGGACGGAGCTGGCTGAGGCGGATGCACCAGAGCCCACCCCAGCTGTCAGCAGGGCCCAGGGCAAAGCCCGGTGGGGAAGGAGCCCCCAGGTGTCAGGCACCGCTCCATCCAGGATGCCGCGCCCCCACCAGGCCCGCCTCCACCCTTATTCTGGTCCCGGCCGCCTCTCCCACCATCAAGGCAAGTCCCGCTGGCAGCTCTGCCCACAAGGTCCGGTTTCCCTGTTTTCAAGGCGACACCCACCTTTCTTGCGCTTGAGCTTCCGCTTGCGCTGCTTATTGACGAAGCAGGCGGCCAGGGTGCTGAACAGGATGGCTGCGGCCAGGAAGCAGATGGTGGCCACAATGCCAGCCAGTACCGGTCGAGCCAGCCCCTCGTCAGTCAGGTCCGGCTGCGGGAAGATGTCTGGGGGGTGGGGGTGGGGGGTGGAGCACAGGTGAGACTCTTCCCTCCCCCAGGACCCCAGGTGCCTCTCCACCTGCACAGGATCCACGTGTCTAAGGCTCTGCCCTAACACTGAAGAGGCGGAAGGGCATTCGGGGAGCCAAGGAGTCACCACCTATATCTCCTCCCCGTGGGGCAGCCTCACCAGGTGATGGCCAGGCCATCACTCACCTGATGGCCTCACCAGGTGCCCTCACCAAGCAGCACGCTCCACCCAGAAGCCATGCCCGGATGACCGGACACTGCGGGAGCCTACATATCACATGGCCACCGGGACTCCCGCCAGCCTCTCTACAGGACCAGGGCCCAAGAGGGTGACTGCAGCGGTGCGGGGCTGTCACTCCAGAATGCAGGCTCCCGTTCTACCATGACGGTGCAGGCGGGCAACCCCTGCAGGGGGTCAGCACATCCTGGCCATCACAGGCACGTGCTGGCGTGGACAGGGCCATCAGACAACATCCTGTCCTATTGGCAGAAGGGCCCAGATTCACAGAGCTTGTGAGAGACAGCGGGATTGTATGGGTCCCCAGGATTACACATCACCCAAAAGCTCGTTAGGAAGTGCCACCCCGCAGGCTCATCAAAGGGAAGCCCACATATCTTTGATACGTTGGGCCAGAACCCACTCCATGTCAATGAAGACGTGGATTAAAACAACCCAGATCGTGCTGAGTAGAAAACGAGGGCTCAGCCTTTGCGAGCTGGAGGCTGAAAGACAGGGAATGCTGAGGCAGTTGGAGGACGTTCACCAGGGACTCTCGCAACTACTGAGAACCAGACATAAAGTCACTGAGCAGAACAGTTCACAAGAGGCGCCCCCAAACCCTCAACTCCTCTACCCCGGCCTGGGCTGCAGCTGTCTCCCCCAGATGGACTCCAAGACAGAAGTGTACTGGGCTACAGCAGGCACCTCCGAGGAGAAAAAAAAAACCAAGACCAGGCTTCCTAGGGGATCAGTGGTTAAGAAGCCGCCTGCCAGTGCAGGGCACACGAGTTCAATGCCTGGTCAGGGAAGATTCCACAGGCTACAGAGCAACTGAGGCCATGCACCACAACTGCTGAGCCTGAGCTCGAGAGCCCAGGAGCCGCAACTACTGAAGTCCGCACGCCCTAGAGCCCGTGCTCCACAAGAGAAGTTACAGCAGTGAGAAGCCCACACACCACAGAGAGTAGCCCTGGCATGCCACAAGTAGAAAAAGCCCATGCAGCAACAAAGACCCGGCACAGCCAAAAACAAAACTAAATCAATTAAAAAAAAAAACAGAAAAAAGAAACCAGCCCCACAGTGCCTAACACACAAGACAGAAGTGTGTTAGGTTCGCCACAAGGCTCGCTTCCCTGCCCACCCCACCGCACCAGCATCTCCAGGAATCCCAAGCATGAACTTGTCGGGCCCCCTCCTGCCCCCTGCCTCTGGGGTGCCCCGCGACCACTGCCCAAGGACGTGTGCCCCAGATTGATCGCTACGCAAAAGCCTCTTCCCAAACCGAGGGAACCACTTCTGGGGGAGGGATCTGCTACTTGGCAGGAACTGTAACTGGAGAAACATGCGTAGAATTGGGCCCAGGGCCAAGAGAAAGGAAGATAAATGGAGACAGTGCTAGGGAGTTGGCTTTATTTAGCCTGAAAAAATCTAGGGAGAGGAAGGAGCGGAGGAAAACAACACCAAACAGCAATTTTCCAAATGAAACACCCTAATTATGAAGCTGCCTTACCAAGAGGCATCGGTAAGCACCGCTGACCTGTTTCTGTCTCTTTGCTCCAATTCGCACCCCCCACGTCACCCCACAAGTGGGTAACACCAGAGAAACAGAACTTTGACAGCAAAAGGACTGAAGTTCTTTTTAACTATTCTAACGAGAAGGTTAGCTGGATTTCCTTCTGTGGCTACCGCAGAGAAATGGTCATGAATTTGGCTCTTCCGGTGGAGAAACCCTACCCACCTGAAGGTCATGACACAAATAGTCAGCTGGTGCCCCCTCCTCTATTCCGGCTCAGCCTCTCCCCGCACAAGCTGGCGCGCCGATGCTGCCCCGACCCCAAGTACCTGTGCTGGAGACGCCGGCAATGTTGCTGGGCTCACTGATCAGATCCTGCATGACGGCCAGGACCCGGAACTCGTACCACGTGTCCTACAGCCCCAGGGGTGATATCCCGTCAGCCGCGCAGCTGTGACAGCCATCAGTACCCCTCCCAGCTGACCCCCCCCCAACCAACTCTGCAACTTGGGGTATGTGCCAATTTCCATGGAATAAATACTCGGACTGTGATCGATTCCAAGCTATACATGTGAGGTCACTGAAAGCAGAGCTAGAAAGAGATGCAATGTGGGCTTTTGGGACCAATCCCAGCTCTAGAGCATCCAGGGAAGGGAGAAGGGAAGACAGGAGAGAGAGCAGGCACATGTGCAATAAGCGGCTGCCTCTCTCCAGCTAGAGAGACGCCAAGGTATAAGGGGAGTCAGCTGGGAAAAAATACCATGTTCTCCAAGGGCTCAGAATTGCTGAGGGAGGGCTCCCACCCTGGGATGCCCACGTCGGACTGCAGCCCGCCCCGTGCTCCCTGGCTCTTGGTGGCATGTGGAGACCCCTCAGGTCTGGTCCTGAACTTGTAGACCTCGACTGCCATAACCCAAAGACCCCAAACCCTGGCAGCAGACCTGGGAGAGCAGGAGTGCAGGCTTGTGGTGGTACGCAGCCAGCCCCCCAACACCTCCAGTGATTCTAGAAGCTCATCACAGTGATGAACTCCCAGTGATTCTAGAAGCAATTCAGGGTCACTTCCAGCGAACGCCAGGCTCCGCACCTGTGACAGGTCCCTGGCAAAGAAGTCCCCGTCGGTGCCGGGAATGCCGTCGTCCAGCGTCTCCCAGCGCTCTCCGACGCGGAACTCCAGGACGTAGCGGTCGATGGGGAAGCTGTGGTTGGCAGGTGGGAGCCAGGACAGGAGCACGCCCTGCTGGGTCCGGTTGGCTGTGAGGCACCTCGGTGGGGTAACCAGCACCAGGGGTTCTGGAGTTGTGACGGGGAATGCTGCAGGGCGGGGGGGAGAACGAGGGGGTCACTAGGGCTGCTGCACCCCTCTACCCACGCGTGCCTGCAGCACAGGGACCCCACGGCACTGAGGGTCACGTCCCCTGGGAACAGGCGTCAATTTAAGGACCAGAGTCGCATGAAGAGCCGTCCTGATCCAAGGGAAGGAGGCCGGGCAGCGGACCTGAGCTTCCTGATTCTGTCTCCAGGGCACGTCCAACAATACCGAGGGACAGGGACAGCATCAAGTCCCTCACAGGAAAAACATCAGGAACCACGGGAAGTAACGGGGTATCTTTAAAAAGATACTTTCGTTCCCTTCCGAAGGAGGAGGAACACCTTCCCTCAGCGCTGCCCTGTCCATCCACTTCCCTCTGGCCCAGGTGGAAAGCTGGCCCCCACGGTGGGGAGCTCTGGGGCAGGATAAGCCCCGCTCCACAGCTGCCCCCTTGGTGGCAATAAAGGACCCCAGGCAATGCTGGCGTGGAGCTCCCCAGTCACAGCTGCCCTCGCTGGCCGCAGAGAGGGGACAAATGCAACAGCAGCCAGGAGGGCATGGCCCCTCCTGGGCCCCTGGGTCAGGAAGGAAGAGATGGGTCCACGCTTGCCACCAAATGAGGCTGGGGGCCAAAGGAAGGAACCAGCAGAGAACAGGAGGAGAAGGACCCCCAATCCCCTTACGAAGCCACAGGAAAATGGAAACAGGTGGTCAGCCATGAAGGATGAAACCAAAGCTCTTCCATCCACCTGAAGACTCATCAGGCTGGCCCACAGCGCCCATAGTGCTCAGCTGGGGCGCTCTGGTCCAGACCGACCCCGAGGGATGATGGGACAGACCCCTGCTGCGACATCAGTGAGTCGTATAGGCACTTAGCAAGGTGCCTGCATATAGCAGGCAAGAAACGTCTGCTCCAGCCCAGCTCCTCCAGAAGCGCCCCGGCCCGGCCTCACCTAAAGTGTTCACAGTGACCACCTCACTGAAGGCGCTGGTGCCCAGTTTGTTCTGGGCCAGGACACTAAACTGGTACGTTGTCTCGGGCTCCAGGGCTTCCACCAGCAGCCAGCTGGGTCCCGGAGGCACAGGCAGGGACAGCCAGTCATGGGGCCCAAACTGTGCCCGCTTCATCCTGCCCGAAAGGGAGAGAGGATTGGGGACAAGAAGACGGGGTGGGTTACACTGGAGACAGGAGAGGGCACGCAGGTGCTGGAGGTGGGGGGCACCCCGGCCTCCCCAGGTTTGAGGTCAGAAACAGGCCATGGCCACTCAGCTATGGCCCTGTCCCCGTGAGGCCAGGTCCCTGGCCACTGCTGGTGCCTCATCTATGAAAGGGGACCCTTGGCATTGTTGACACTCAAGAAACGGGTCAAATTACCAGTTGCATTCTGAGAGAACCTCACCCTGGGCAAGAGTCTTAAGAGTGGCCCTGCCCTGAGAGTGAGGACACTGGGAACAAGGCAGGGGCTGAAGTGGGAGAGCAGGGATGAGCACCAGCGGGACCTGAGGGGGGGCCAGGTGCCCAGCTGCCCGGCTGCTCTGAGATGGTCAAAGCAGGCTTGCTCTGTTCAAGTAGGCTGCTGTCGCTGAGGAGGAGTTGGGCACTGGACAAACACAAAGAGTGCTTCCCCACAACGGGGACAGGATTCTAAAGCCTTCCGGGTTAGAAGTCACTGTGGGTGCAGAATGCTGGAATCTGGGGAGAGGGTCAACCCCTGCTCTGCGGCCCGCCGCACTCCCCACTGGCCATGAAGCCGGTGCCCAGGCGCACTGTCCAGTGCCACCATGGGGAGGGGATGGCCTCCCATTGGACTGGCCGTGCAGATCGAGGACCCCCGAGGAGGCCGGGTCCCTGCACACCGACGGCTCACAATTGCCTCTGCTCAGGAAGCAGAGCCAGGGCAGCAGAAAGCACAGCAAAGAGAAGCCAGCATCAAAGGTCAGGATGGGAGAGCTGCAGGCAGGCAGAGAAAAGGGGGGAAGGAGCCCCCTAGCTCGAGACTGCCCCTCCCACCCGGCACCCCAGCAGGCAAGCAGGGTGACACAGCGAAGCAGAGCCACAGGCAGCGAGGGGACCAGTCCATGCCCAGACCTTCTGCTCAGGCCTCCCGAAGGTGGCCACATGCCCTGCCCTGGCCACACAGCCCCCTGGCAGTACCCTGACTGCCCCATGGGGGTGGGAGGGGGCTCGCTTCAACTCTGAGCCCCCCCAAGCTCACCACCTGGGTCTGCTTTGCGTCCAGAACTCAGAAAACTCAGGTATTCAGAGTCTAGGAAACAGGCCAGGTCCCTCTCAACCTCCCTTGTGCTGGAAGTCCACGGAGAGCTCTGCCTGAGTCTCTAACAGCCCGCGACTATGTCTCCTCCTCTCCAGGCCTGGTGAGCCTGGGGCAACACGCACCCTGAGGAGACAGGTCTGGAGAGGAGGAGGTTAGCACTCACCCTCCCCAATCAACAGTGTTGCCCCTGAGGCAGGTGGCCAGCTCTGGGCTCAGGAAAACCCTAGGTGAGTATGGACCTCAACCAAGGGCTCTCCTAGTTTTTCTACCCCTCCTATTCTCAGCCTGACTCACACATCACTGAGATGCCGGTCAACCCCAAGGTTTCGGCAAAGATCTCCAATCCCTACATCTCACCAAATGAATGTACAGCCAGGTACAAAGGCAATGGACACACAGTCCCAGAGAGGAAATGGACACGTGCAGATGAGGGCAGGAAGGTGAGCGCCATTTCACACTGGTCTCTGGAACCACGGGGGAAGGATCAGGATAAAGCTAATCCTAGGCTTGCAGCTGGGCTGTCTCAGGATGCCCAAGATCAGGAGTCTCTTCCAGACTCCAGAGAAGAGAAGAAAACCTAGAGGAGCAAGCCAAGGACATGGAAGGGCTGCAAGATCAGCTGAGGACACTCAGCACGGGGTGGTGGGCCATTCGGGCCCCGGCGTCATTCCAGACGCCCCGCCCACAGAAGCCTCGCCACCAGACAGCACATACCCACTGTCCAGAGGAAGGTCAAGCAGGTGGAGACCCACACCCTCCTCATAACCTGCCCCCCAGCCCTGGGGACAGATGGGGGAGGGGTAAGCAGAGAGCGAGGCGTGCAGGGGTGACTCACAGAGGTCCGTACCAAACAGAGAATGTCTGCTCAAATCCTCCGTCGTAGCCTGGCTCCCAGGACACATTGGCAGTTGTCATGGAGACCTGGACCCGGACACTGCCCGGGGCATGGGGGCTGGTGCCTGGAGACCAAGCAGACACCTCATGGAGGGGGGAAGTGAACCTGCGTGACTGGGGCTGTGACCCCGAGTGCCCTGCAAGCACAGTGGCCCCAGGGAGGCAGTGGGGGCCACAAAGCTCTGGAAAGCTGGGTCCAGCCCAGGGCCCTGGGGCTGGAGGAAGAAATCTGTCCAGCCAGGGAGGCTGATTCTTCCAGGAGGAGAACGGCCTGAACATCAGGGATATGTGCTGGGGGTGGGGAGTCAGCCCCTGGTCATCAGGACTGCGCTTGTCTGCAGAGGACCAAAGTGCACCTGATGGCGGTCAGCAAAGTCAAAAGGCCCTGCCCCACACGACTCTGGCCTGAGACCCAAACACCATCATGAGAGCAGCCCAGTCCAGCCAGCCGTCAACATCTCCAGCAGAAGTTTGAATCCAGGGCCCACCACTCAGTGTGGGGATGCCAGCAGAGGTGTCCCACCTAGGCTGGCCTTCGTCTCTGTGAGCGAGCCTGGGGGGAATACCAGCTTCCACCTTGCACCACTAGGTACCAAGCTTAAAGCCAGCGGTAAATGTCCAATGGCTGTTGTTACGACAGTGGCTGTCTGTCCCAGAGGGGCAGGCATAATGTCCAGGCTAGGGTCCTAGGGACAATGTCTCTGACAGCGGAAGAGCCCCAGGAAACGGGACACCTGCGCCAGGCCCCACCCAACCCCCAGTCCGTACCAATGACAGTCAGGTGGGTGCTGGCAGTGATGCTGGTGACCACGTTGGTGGCGACGCACTCCCACTCCCCGTGGTCCTCCTTGCTCAGGGCGCGGAACTGCAGGCTCCCGCTGGGCAGGGCGTTGTGCTTGCTTCTGCTGGGCTTCCCTACCTTGGCCAAACATGGGGGCGGGAGTGGGCGGCCAGGGCAGAAGAGAAGCCACCGACACTCAGGGCTCCAGAAGGGGGGCAGCACTGGGCTTCAGCCCACAGCACTCTGCTGCCCCTTGGGAACAGAGCAGTCCCGGCCGTGCCCCCATGGTGCTCCCCGCAGCCCTTCACTGCCCCGGGTCACCCTCCCTGTTGCCCCTTGGGAACAGAGTGGTCCCGGCCATACCCCCACGGTGCTCTTGCAGCCCGGAGTCCAGGGGTACCTTTCTACAAGTGATGACAGGGAAGGGGCTCCCACCCCGCCCCCTGCAAGACCCAGAACCCAGGGGTACCTTTCTCTAGGTGATGATGGGGAAAGGGCCCCCCAGCGCTCCCCACAAGCCCTGGAGCCCAGGGGTACCTTTCTCCAGGTGATGACAGGGAAGGGGTCCCCAGCTGCGGCACAGGGGATGAGCAGCTCCCGGCCAGCCTCCTGCCTGTACTCCCAGCCCGGTAGCACCGTGAAGTACGGGGGGTCCTAGGAGAGCAGGCCGGGGCGTGATTCCGGGCACTTGAGGAGCCTGTCTGCTCACACGGAGGCACCCGCAGCCCGGCCTCACCTTCAGGACAAGCCTCGCGGGGGCAGACTGGCCCATGGTCCCCAGAGTGTTGTAAGGCACACAGGTGTAAGTGCCAAGAGCCTCCTCTGTGGCCTCCTCGATCCGGATGGAGCCATCCTCCATCAGAGTCCAGCCCAGGTTCTGCCAGGCACAGACAGTGGAGCGGAGCCGTGGTCAGCGCTGACGTCCAGTCCAGCCGCACCGGCCAGGCCCGAGCTGACCCTCTGTGGGCAGGCATGTGGGGTGGGGCATCTCGGGTCTGGGAGGATGGCCAGACCTTCTGGACCTGGCCCCATGGGAAGCAGCTCTTTGCTCTCCCAGAACTCTGAGGGGAGTGGAGGGGTCCTGGCGGGAACCAGATCCCCGGAGGCAGCATCTCAGAGCCAGGGGCCTCCCGAGACCCACACGTGGCCCTCCAGCACCTTCTCAACCTGCAGAGGGCGGCCGTCCTTGTTCCACTTGACCACAGTGGCCGGCGGCTCTGCGTCCACGGGGCAGCGGATGTAGCCGTGAATCCCCACGGGCACGTAGATCACAGGGGGCATGTTGAGGACTCGGGCTGGGTCTGCAGGAGTGGGAGTGGGGGCAAGGAGGGGGGAGAAGACACAGCTGGGGCCGAGCCACCCCACAGCCCAGGGCCCCACACTCTGTGTAGCACCAGGTGCCAGCCCAGCAGGGCCACAAGACAGCAGAGCCCACCCCCCAGGGCTGACCACCCAGAGGCCAGCACGCCTGCCCGTTTGTCCAGTCCTGCGTCCTTAAGAACCCCCGTCTGGACGCACTGAGGCACTGCCACTCCTGCCCACATGCAGTTCCCCCAAAACACCTCTGTCCACAGACTTGACAGCCAGCGGGGACCCTCAGCACCCCAGCCCCTGGACTCCCAACCTCAAAGCCAGCATATGGCCACTCATAAGACCGGTAAGATGACAGCATCCCTCCCAAGTCGGCAGGACCCCAGGCCCTTTCTCTCCACATGCTCTCGGGACAAGGCTGCTTCTGCGCGCTCCCCCCACCTCGGTCTCCCATCTGTGTAGCTGGGATGCAGAGTCAGCCACGGAGCCTCTGGAAGGCTCTCAGGCGACAGGAGCAGCAGCCCAGAGACGCGGGTGAGTCATCACCCAGGGGCCACGCGGGAGAATGATCCAGAACTCCCCAGGAGGTGGTAGGGATGAATGGGCGTCTCTGTCAGCGTCTGGAGCCCTTTGCAGAAGAGCATTACATAAATACCAGGCCGAGGTGTATATTTAGACATAGCTTCCTACTTTTGTGTGGTGGAGGCTTTTTTTCCCCCTCCAAGGTTTTCAAAGGGTTTATGAATGGGAAATACTCTGAACACTGCTTTTTAGTAGAAATAAAGATCCTTGTCTCACCCACCTGAAAATCTCATTCCCCCCCCCGCCCCAGATTCTCTTTGAAGGCAGGAAGGAGGTAAGAAAGGACAAGTGGGAGTGGGTGATGCACCGGAGGGAGACGGGAAACCACGCTTCCCTGGCAGGCACGGCCGCAGCTGGAGGATAGGAGCCTCATCCAGGCAGGTCAGGGTCCTCTGGGACCACTCCTACCAGCCCTGTGCCGCTGTCTCTGCCCCTCTGTGCCCCATGACACAGCAGATGGGATCTGCCCTATGAGGAGTCTGCAAAGGAGCCTCTTCCTCTGGTAAGTATGGGTGGGACAGACCTGAAGCCCGGGTCACACAGCCATCCCGGGAACTCACAGGACAGCAGCTGAGAGTGATCCTCTGCTCTGGAAACTGGAGAGGAGGCCTCTAACCCCACCAGCAGCAACACTGCATGAGGGCGTGAGGCTAGCACTCGGGCAGCCCCCCACCAAGCCCCTGCTCTGCCGGCCTCCTGGGTCACCAGCTGTTCTGCTCACATCCTCAGCTCAGACACCGCCTCCAGGCCCTCTCCAGACGGTCACACTCGCGCCTGCCTGCCCCTCTGTGCTGCAGAGGAGCCTGGTTCTCCCACATGAGCCATCAAGTGATGAAGTGCCTGTCATCTACCACATCAAGAGGGGCCCGTGTGGCCTGAGTGACAGAGCCATCAGCCAATCAGGAGGGAGGGGCGAGCCCTCATCACACGTCCTCTCCCCACCACGACCAGCAAGCTGAACGATGCTGCACAGAAGTCCTCGGCCACTCTGGGTCTCGGGCAGCCCCGGGAGCTGCGGAGGGAAGGCCCAGAGGGGCCTGGTGCTGGCTGGAGTGGATGAGCCACTGGGAGAGGGCCTGTGCCCCTTGCCAACACGGCGACAGCCACCCACCAGGGGTGAGCCACACGCCCTCAGATAGTGAGAAAAAGCACTTCATTCCAGGTGCAGACAGCTGCACTGGCACCGGCATGAAGACAGTGTCCAGAAGGCCGGCCTGGCCCCGAGCCCAGCCAGGGTGAGGCCAGCGGGATGGATCAGTGGACAGGGACAACCGCATGGCCGGGAGAAGGGCCCAGAGCGGGCTCCATTCACCTGCACTAACCAGCCCCGGTCAGGCCTCCTCTCGGGGTGATGCCCTCCTCGCCTCGGCCCCTCCTCTGCCCACCTTCCCCGAGGCTGCCCTCCCGCCCCCAGCATGGCCAGCGGCCCACTCACACTGAACGGTGAGGTACGCCGAGGCCGAGGGCGAGCGCCCCAGGCTGTTGCTGGGCACGCAGGTGTACTTCCCCGCGTCCTCCGGCTTCACCCGGAAGATGATCAGGGTCCCATCAATGAGGATCCGCACCCGCAGCTTCAGGTCGCTGCAGGGACATAGGACACAATGTGGGGGGTTGGGGGGGCCGGGGAGGAGAGAGTCTTCCATGCGATGCCAGGGCACTGTGCCCTGCCCAAGTCCTCCCCTGATGCGTGGGACAGGCGCCCCCCACACCGACACTGGTCTCAGCACACGGAGCACAGGAAGGGGACCCCAGCCCACCCTCCCGCCCCAACCAGCTCCCAGAGCCCAAGGGCAGTCCCTGCTGGGAGGCCTCGCCACCAGGAGGCCTGGCTGGGCCCAGGGCAGGGCGAGCACTCACTTCTGGAAGTAGACGTTCTCATCCTGCCAGTACCAGGTGTAGGTGAGGTTGCCGGGGTAGGCCTCTGCCCGGCAGGTGAGCAGCGCATCCTGGGAGATGTTGACAGTGATGTTCTCAGGAGGGGAGACGATGAAGGGAGGCCCTGGGGGACAGGGACAAATGTGACCTCTCCTGGGGCGGGGGGAACCACAGCACCAGCTGCCAGGGGGCTCTGCCCCTCAGAAAGGGGTGCCCTGAGCCCTGGGAGGGACCAGGCCGGCACTGGTCCAGAAGCAAGCAGCACAACTGAGCAGTTGTCATGGAGACGCATCCAGCTGCTGCCTGTGCTCAGATTCTTACTCGCCCTGCAGGTCCCAAGGATGCAAGGGGCCCAGTGGTGTGGCCACTCACAGCTCTTGGCAGACACCCACCCATGCACAGCCCCTCTGCAATCTGGCCGCCTGAATAGCCAGCTAGCCCCTCCATAGATACACATACACAGGAAGGAGAAAGGCCGCTCTCTCGGCCCACAGAAGGAAACGGCCTGCCTCTAGAGGAGTAAGAGGCTACCCAGACACAGGTGGAGGGGCGTCAGGGAGAGGAGGCAGGGCAGGCAGAGGTCACGGCTGGAGTTCCAGCAGCCCTGGTGCTGACTTTCCAGACACCCTGTGGCTGCCACCAGCTCTCGCCCAAGTCAGGAGGCCGGGCGCAGCCACCCGCTCCAGCAGGGGTGGGGGAAGTGGAGCAGGTGGACAGAGGCCACCCCTTCTGAGGGGCTCAGGGCCCCAGGCAGAGCATCGCAGGGGCTGACCCCACAGACGCCAGCCCTGACAAATGTCCTCCATGTTATTTAAGCCTCTGGGGTTGGACTCAATTCAAATCTTCACTTATTAAGGCAGTCACCAGAAGATGGAGTCTGGGGGGGCAGGGGGCAGTTCTCCCCCAGGGAAGGTGGAGACACCGCAGGACACCACCTGGACATTCAGAGAAACCAGAAACCCAGTCGGCATGGCACCTCCTGCCACCCCATGGGAGGGTCACCGTGGGCCACCAAGGGAGCCCATGATACACGGAGGAGACCCCACCCAGTTCCCCACCATCACCAGTTGAGCCACCCACACCCTGGGAAGACCCCCAGCTCAGTGCGGCCAGGACTCCCTGCAAGAGGCCTCACCTTGGACGAGCAGGTGGGTGGTGTGCACCGCCTCCCCCTGGATGCTGTACGCGCGGCAGGTGTAGGCGCCTCTGTCCTCCCGACTGACTGATGTCACCGTCAGGCTGCCCTCACTCACCTGGAGCCAAGGAGACGGACTCAGCTCCCACCCTGAGCCCCACCAACACTTTCCCAGTTGGAGGGGGCCTCGGGGCCTGTGCACTGGGGAACCTCCAAGGTCACAGATACCACCCGGTCCGCCTGCCACCTCCAGCCCCACCTGCGCCTCTGCAAAGGTGAACTGGTGGCAGGACAGGAGGCAGGGGGCAGCAAGGAGGGGGTGCAACGGCCCACGACAGACACACACTCACCTGGTACTTGTTGCTAGCACCTAGGAGTGTCCCCTCCTTCAGCCAGGTGACAATGGGCTTGGGATTCCCAAAAGCCGTGCAGGTCATGGTGACGCTACCGCCCTCCTTGGCCTCAATGTACTGGGGGGGTGTTTCTGTAAAGGTGGGAGGAGCTGCAAGAGACCCAAGGCATGGGGGCGAGGCAGGGGCAGGCTGGTCAGCTGGCCATCCTGCACATGGGACCCTGCTCCAGGCCCGCCCCACAAGTCCAGGGTACTCCTGGAGGCAGGAGGTAAGCATGAGACAGGCTCTGCCGCCTGCCTTGCAGAAGGGAGATCTGGAACTCAAGAGTCTGGCTGAATTCCAATTGTAAACTTTCCCTGTTGCATCTGCCTAATTCCAAATAAAGCACTGTTTGTCCAGCACCCACAGGGAGGCCCCCCATGCTCAGCACCAGGGATACAGGGATAAACGAGGCACAAATACACCTGCAGCCCTTCACACCTCAACCATCCAGATACCCGTCTTTCCGTAACCCCAGCCCAGCCAGGCCCACGGTTGCAGGCCATACACCGTCTAAGCCCCATCAGGCCTAACGTGGATCACAAGCCAGGTGACATGCGATTACCTAGACCCTGCAGAAACAATCCCACATCTTCTCCCAGCCCAGCCATGGCCACTCCCTCCCAAACTGCTCCCCCATCACCTGCTTTGGAGTCCTGACTAAAATCCCGCCCTGTTGAAACAATCAGCTTTTAACACACACCATCTAATCTGTCAAAGCTGCTTTTAGAAGCCACCTGATCACCCTCAACCCTCTGGACAATCACCTGGGGTCTTCTGGAGTGGGGACACTGGGGCACCAGCCTGAGGGTCCACAACACCAGGCTGGGCCAGGACTTCTGACCTTGTCTCAAGGCCCCAAGCTCAAGTCCAAATGCCCCTCGCCCTGTAGCCCAGGGCTCAGCCATTCTGGGCTCTACCTAAACCCCTGCCCTCCACACTGATGGAAGGAATAAGCCGAGTAGAGTCTGTGAGAGGAGCTGGTAAAACGTAAAGCTACTGAATGGTGGTCATCTTGCCAGCACTGTCATCGCTGTTAGCTGCCCAGGGCTTCTGAGGCCCTGAGGTTAAGCTGTGAGAGGGGTATCCTAGGAGGCAGCCTCGCCCTGGGCCCAAGAAATGCTAGGGTCACAGCTGTCCACCAGCCACCACACATCCCTCAAATAGACTCCAATACTCTAGCCTTCATGTCTTCCTACAAGTAAGAAATTCCATCCCTGGGACTACTGCACCTGCCATCCCCCCTTCCTGGGCCATATTCACATCTCACCCTTCTGGTGCTTCTACATCTTTGCTAAAATGCCACTTCTGCCTCACCTGGTCAGCTGGTCAAGGAAGGCACTTGCTGCAGTCCTGTCCCCTGAGACAGTTTAAAGCACTTAAGGACCAAGTCTCCTGAGAGCAGAGATCTCCGTAAATCCCAGTATGTGTTCAGCTTTTAGCTCAGTTCATGTATGGAAGTGAGAGTTGCACCATAAAGAAAGCTGAGCGCTGAAGAATCAATGCTTTTGAACTGTGGTGTTGGAAATGACTCTTTGAGAATCTCTTGGACTGCAAGGAGATCCAACCAGTCCATCCTAAGGGAAATCATTCCTGAATATTCATTGGAAGGACTGATGTTGAAGCTGAAGCTCCAATACTTTGGCCACCTGATGCGAAGAACTGACTCATTGGAAAAGACCCTGATACTGGGAAATACTGAAGGCAGGAGGAGAAGGGGATGACAGAGGATAAGATGGTTTGATGGCATCACCGACTTGATGGACATGAGCAAGCTCCGGGAGTTGGTGATGGACAGGGAGGTCTGGCGTGCTGCAATCCATGGGGTCGCAAAGAATCGGACATGACTGAGCAACTGACCAGAACTGAACTGGCAGGAAACAGAGTCTCAACAAACGGCTGAATGAACAGACAAATGCAGTGAAATAGGTGCATGCCTGCAAGCGCACGTGCACACACGCACACACACCAACACAAATGCAAATATAAAACTGAAGACAAGATGATGGTGAGACAACCTTCTTCCACAATCTCCCCAATGCTCCGCTCGGTGTGGCCACCAAGGTGGCCACGAGTGAAGGCTAGGTGACCAGGGAAGCACTCTTCATCACGCACAACAAACATCTTTGAGAAAGTCAATCCTACCCTGACATTCAACACACCAAACGTGACGGTAAAACACATTCTGTGTTAGTTGCACAGTCATGTTCGACTCTTTGTGACCCCACGGACTATAGCCTGCCAGGCTCCTCTGTCCATGGAATTCTTCACAAGAATGATGGAGTGGATAATCATTCCTTTCTTCAGGGGATCTTCCCGACCCAGGAAACAAAGCTGGGTCTCATGCACCGCAGGCAGATTCTTTAGCATCTGAGCCACAAGGGAAGCCCCAAAACACATTCTAAGCCCTTGCAAAGGGAACCTGGCTTCTGAGCCCCAGACTGCCTCCTAGCCTGACCTGTGAGCCCGTCCTAGCAGAGTCCTGCTGCCAAGCCTGCTCTTGAACTACCGCTCACACAGCCTCGGCCTCTATTACCTCTGTGTCACGCTTAAGGAAAAGATAATACGGTAAATTATTTCCTGAAGTGACAAATTAATTACTAATTACATAATTACTTTATTATTTAGGTGCTAATCAGGAAAGCACTTTGAACAATTTCAAGTTTTCAGGAAAATAATGGTTTGACTCCCGATTATTTACCGGATTAGGTTTGAGCCTGCCAGCTGCATTTCCAGCTTAATTCTTCTTTTTTTACACATGCCCTATAATTAATCATGCAGGTTAGAAACAGGCTGGCCTCTCCTCCAAGCAGTTCACCAACAGAAAGAGAGGCCTGACTTGGGCTTTTCTAGTATTTCATATGCAATGAGGAAATAATTGGATTTGCTTCCTCCCAACTGGTCTTGAAGAAAACACAAAAGGAGAAGGAGACAACTTGTGATTCTAATTTTTCATTTTCCAAGGGTGATCCCGGTCAGAAATGCCTGACAAGAAACATTCTAGTTTGGAAGAAATGCAATGTTTGTGCTCCAGACTCTTTCCTTCAATAAGGGAAGTATTTACTCTAGAAGAAACCTCAGAATGCAGGAGAAGGGAGGCAGGAAGAGAGGGTGAGGTCGCTCACCTTGGGAGGGGTGGCCTGGTAGGGAAAGCATTCCATGATGAGCTGAGCTCCGGTGCTGAAGCTGACCGTTCATTCCAACAACCAGCCAGGCTCCTGAATGTGGTGGCTCTGCTTCCTCTGGGCCTCCGGGCATACTGTTTCCTCTGCCCTGGAACACCCTGCCGGCCTGACCCCCCGACCCCCTTCACCTGGCCAACTCCTCTTCCCCAAAGGGTCTCTGCCCAGGGCTCATTTCCTCAGAGAAGTCCCTCTCCCTCGTGCTCCCAAAGCTGTACTGTAGTTGCCTGTGGACCTGACTGTCCCCTGACGATCCTTCAGACCTCAGTCTGCATACCCAGAGCCTGCCGAGTGGACATTCAAAAACGCATGTTGATCATGGGTCGATTCCCAAGGGCTCTTCAACCACCCAGGCTGCCTCTGCCAGCCCGAGGCCCCTCCTGGGCTGCCCGACTTGGTCTTTCTCTCCCTTGAGGGGGAGGGTGGCCAGTATCCCACACAGAGTGACCCCCGCACAGCCGACGTTCCAAATGCGGCATCAGGCGTCTTCATCCACAGCCCTTCGTTTAATCTTCACTACAGCCCTGCACACAGGCACGGTTCTTGGAAACAGAACAGTGAAGCTCAGAGAGGGGAGGCGGGCACCTTAGCTCAGACAGCGAACGAGGTGGACTCACGACACAAGCCGAGTCTCGTCGGGCCGTGTTCCCTGCTGGTCCACCCGCCTCCACTCCCTGGACAGGACCCAGCGGTGCTGTGCGGCAGGCAGGCAGGGCTGTGACGGCATCAGCCCACCTTGGGAGACGGCACAGGAAAGCAGGCAGCGTGGGGGCTCTTGGCTCAGCACTCCATCAGTGGTGCCATCGCAGTAGGTTTACCTTCCTAATTACATTTTGCTTGGACTAATATTAAGCTGAGTTTTCATTCCCGGCACACACAACAGCTGGCATTGAAAGGAAGTGGACTCCAAAGCTCACCGGTACTGGGGACAGCTCACCCAAGGTTTAAAATCAGCCCACCGCGGGTCTCTGGGGACTGACGCCAGGAGTCGGCTGCGTGCAGTGGGTCAGCAGCCTGGACCACTGCCCCAAGGCCACCACTCCTAGGTCCGCTTGGTCCCAGGGGCCAGTCTCGGGTTAACACACAGTTTTCCCAGGGCCCGCGATGGGTTTTCAGGGCAGAAGGTGCACGACCTGACCCAACGTCATGAGACAAGGCCTGTGGAAACCGGGAGAAGCTCACAAGCCAGGACACTGCCGGTTCCTCTCTCCTGACCGTGGCATTCAGGGTCACAGGCGTCACAGCCACAAGGACCTAGGCTGTGCCTGGGCATCCAAAGCACAAGTGCCGTTGAAGCCTCGACAACCAGCTCAGGATGCACGGCACGTGGCAGCTGAACACACCATGTCACAAACTGAATCAAGAGTAAAATAAAGCAAAGCAAAAACCCTGCTCCCCTCCACCGTGGGGATCACTTCTTCTTCCACCTTCTCTGGGTTCCAGTGTCCCCAGCTCCTTGGGAATTTCTCCTCCCAAGGGAGGGCTCCCAGGGGCACAGGGGACCCTCAGTTCTGGGAAAGACCCTGGCCCCATGAGAGACCCGTCACCCTTCACCCCAGGAAGTAAGTACCCACTGGCATCGGAAGGGTTACCCTCCAGGCCGGGACCAGCAGGATCGCCACCCAGCCCTGCGTTTGCCCTGCTGCTGCCCATCAATTGCAGCTCAATGGCTGGCTGGCGCTCAATGGTTACTCAGGCAAATGGACTAAAGGAAGGCTCTAACAGGGGATCCCTGAAGAGGATCTTCCTGCAGAAGCTCAACCATCCGGGATTCCAGAACCCAGTTCCCACCCCCACTCATGGTGACCGCCCTCTGCCAGGAGCTGCCCAGCCTCTGGGACTCCAGGACGACCAAGGGGCCAGGGTGCGGCTGGTATCTGACCAGCAGGCCAGACCAGGATCTCCAGGAAGGCTGAGGAACTTGGGGCACAGCTGCACCAGGGTCTCCAGGGCAGGCTACAGTCAGGGGCTGAGTTCCAGGGGCGTGGGGAGGAGGCTCATGCACACGCAGGACACACACCGAACACGCTTGCATGCAGGCATGCGTCCCGCACACCACGCACCGTGGATGGTGAGATGCACCCAGCTGCCGTTGTGGAAGGTGTCGTACTGCTGGTCGAGCAGGAGCACCTTGCACTCGTACCAGCCCTGGTCCTCGGCACGCACCTGCTCCAGCCGCAGGGACGCCTTGTCGTGGAGGCTCGCACGGCCTATGGAGAGGGACTAAGAGGGTTAGGGAAGGGCCCTGCCCCCTGCAGCCCCAGCCCCACAGGGACAGCCCCGCTTGACCCCAGCCCAGGGCAGGCAGACCCAGGCCAGGCCGGCCCCAAAAGCCCTGCTCTCTCTGCCCACCAGCTGCACTGAGAAGGCTTCAGTTCCCTGCACTGTCCCATTCTCTAGAGGCGGAGGAGAGGAAGGAGCTCTGGTGAGGTGGGATAGGAGAGGATGAGTGGGCCTGGGGACCTCTGGCCAGGCTGAGCGACATCCTGTCCCAGGGGTCCCCGTGGCTGCCACGCCCAGCACCCTGTCTGTGTGGCTTCCCTACAGCAGCCAGGGGAGAGGCCAGCAGGGACAGGGTGCTGACATCCCCTCCCAGTCCTGCTGCTGGGGCCAGAGAGCAGAGAGCACTGGTCCAGACAGAGCCCAGGCCCTGAGCCTGGCTGGAGTGGGGGTTGCGCGTAGCCTGAGAATGCAGAGTGGCTGGCAGGCAGAGCACTGATCCATTCTGAGCCACCCTCCCTAACTCAGACCCCTTCCCCAGAGTGCCCTCCGGGTCCTCCCTCCGCCCGGCCCACTCCTCGCCCCAGTGTCACGACCTCCTCTGCATTCCTCCTTGTGTTTTCGACACTGGCAATCTGCCTACAAACCAGACAGTCCCAACCAACCAGGGCCGGAGAGACACAGACACAGGAGGAGGGAGGGGGCAGAGAGAGAGAAAGAAATAGAAGCTGACAAAAACGCAAGGCAGACCTCAGAGCCCAGAGGTAAAGATAAAACCCATGTCCTGCCAGCTCCCTCTCTTCCTTTAAACCCCAGCGCGCGCACACACCCACACACACACGCACCCGTGCACACACGCGCACTGCCCCATGCCCTCCTCCCTGGGGGGCAGGCCCTGGCAGTGACTCAGTGAGGCCTCCGCGGGCAGAAATCATTGCAGAGCAAGGCACAGGGGGCCAGGAGGAGGAGGCTGAGGGGGTGCCCAGACGCTCCCTCCACCCGGGACGAGGCCCCAACTTCAGAGCCAGAGGGAGGGAGTGGGCGAAGCCAGACAGAGCAAACCCCGTGGCTGCCTGCCGAGGCTCTGACTCAGCTGCTTCTACTGAGCCGCCCTCCAGCCGGCCTCCTCTCCCAAGCGGCGGGCTCTGGGCCTCCCTTCTCTGACCTCGACCTCCGGATCCACAGGGGCCCCTGCGGATTGGTGAAGCTGTTCAGGAAGCTCTGTGTCCGCCCCACCTCCTTGTCCCTCTCCTCTCACCACTTAATTAAAACCTACCAGAGTGCAAAGGATGGGAGGACAGAGGCAGTGACTGGAAAACAGAGATAAGAGGCCCATCGGAAAGGACGAGAGGTTACGAGACACAGGAGGGAGGGACAGGGCGGGGGGGGGGCCCCTGGAGCCAGGTGGGAAGCCAGGGCAATGGGGCAGCCCTCACCTGCATATTCAGGGTCCACGTGAGGTGGGTAGTAGCCGAACTTGATGAAGATGGGGATGGGCACCCCAAACTTGAACCACTCCACGACATAGGGCGGGGGCTGCCCCGTCACCGGGTGGACCACGTCGCATCGCAGGACCACGGCCTCGCCAGCCCTCGCGGTCACGAACTCGGGCTCCTCTCGCAGGCCGTGGGCACCTAGCGGGACAGCCACATTGGGACGCAAGAAAGGAGGGGCCAGGAGATCCTGCCTGGCTGTCCCAGAGATGACCTCTGCCCTCCCAACCCTGAAGAGCGCAGCCCAACCATGCCTTTTCCCAGTGACACTCCTACCAGCTCCGAGGAGGGTGGCCACTGGGAAGGTGGAGGGGCCTGAGCCCCTCTGTGGACACCAAGGTCCGGGCAGGCACTGCAGCCAAGGGTGAACGGGGACCTCTTCTTGCACCAGGATGCTTCCTGCCAGAGCACAGCGGGGAGACTCGGAGCCGGCGTCCTCCCACGCCCCACCCCCAGCTCAGCCTGATGTTCACAGCACCAAACAAGAGCATTCCACACAGGAGCGGGGAATCCCCAACAAGCTGAGCAGAGGCTGCTCCTGGCATCGCCAGAGGGAAAACCCCACCGGCCTGAGCTGGCCTCTCTGCCCCTCCTCCCTCTGCCCGCTGCTTCTCCCGCAGAGGAGGGAGAGGGAGGGGCCTCCAGCCCTCCAGTGTCCAAGCCCCAAGTCTATCAGATGGGAGAAGCCCCAGATATCACCATTCGGACCGCAGGATGCTGGGGACAGGGGAGGGGGGGACCCTGGCGGACCCTGGGGCCACTAACCTCAGCCAGCTAAGGGGACCACCCCTACCTGGCAGGGGACAAAGCACGTGGCTGGATAAGACACAGACATCCTCCAGAATGGGACTGGAAGAGATGGGAGGTGAGGCTAGCAGAGGCCCACACCCCCCAGCCCCAGCCCCAGAGAGAACAGGTTAACCCAGGCTCCGCCCCATGCCTGCGGCCCCACCTCCAGCCTGACTCGGGCTGCCACACCAAAGTCACCTTGTCCACCTTCCTTCCCAGTGAAAGCCCGCTGGGAGGCCCCTCCCCTGCCTTCCCTCCCAGCACTCACACAACCCACCAGAGCCCGCCCCTCCCCTCCAGGGCCGGCTGGGCCCCTCCAGGCAGCACCACGGACAGCGGCTGCTCCACTGAGGCTCTGGCCTGACTCTGAGCACACCTCTGACCCCTGTGGGCTCCTGCCAGGCGCCTTTGTCTGGCTCTTTGTGTCTCTGTGTATCTGGCTCTTTCTATGTGTCTTTCTGTTTGGTTCTGTCTCTCTCTCTCCAGGGTCTCTCCTGTGTCCATCTCTCTCTGGCTCCTCCTCCATGTCTGTCTCTCTGTGTCTCTGTCTCTCTCTAGCTCCCACCCACATGGGTGATGCTCTCTACCTGCTCTCCTTTGTATGACTCTATCAGCGTGTGTGTTGGGAGCGGGGGGTACATGTGGGGTTCCGTTCGCCTATGCTGGGGAAGAGGTTTTGCTTTTCTGCTGCCTGGCCCCTGCGTGCTTGTGTGGTCTGCCTCTCCAGGTCCGTGTCTCTGTCGGCCTCTCCTTCTCTCCCTCCCGCTCCAGCTCCCTCTCCTCCTCCCGCAAATTGCGGAAGAAGGAGGAGGCAACCCTTCTGGAAGCTGATTGGCTACTGGTGACATCACTGTTTTCTAGAGAAAGAGCTAAGATCACAGAGTATTTTTGGAGCAGAGCAGTGTTGCCCTCACCTGCCTGAGGCCCCAGCAGGTTTCCCAACCCTCCTAGACCTGCTTTAGGCAAAGGCTAAATTCCAGCCCCTCAGGGAAAGTATAGCAGGCCCCCCTCTAGCCCCCACCCCCTCCCCTGGGGGCATCAGGCAGGAACTGGGCCCGCCTCACAGCACCCTGGCACAAAGGCTGACCCTGGGCCCTGGAGGGGTGGGTAAAGAACAGACATGTGTGCACATGAGTGCATGTGTGTACAAATGTACATGTACATGTGAGTGTGTAGACTTTGGAGGAAAGAAGAGGAAAAACAGGAGCCAGGGCAAGAGGAGGGGGTGCCACCCAGGGGTGGCCACCTGGGGCAGGGGGCAGGGTTGCTTGCCCTCCTCTCATAGCAAAGGTTCTGGAGGCTCTGGGAGGCAAGACCTTGACTGCCTCGTTCTCCGCACAGCAACTAGGCAATGAGGCGGCCTCTTCCACAGCCGCCCAGGCTCAGGGCTACGCACCCCACCTGAGACCCAGCCAGACCTGGGCCCCACCCCACAGCTCTTCCCACGTCCCTCCGCCAGAGACAGCAGCTGGAAGAAGACATGGTGAGACCAGCAGCACAGAGACAGTGAGCAAAGCCAAAACAGACGGGCTTCCAGGATGAAGGCAGTGGAGTGGGAGGCCCTGTCCCAGCCCCCGCACTCAGGCCAGTCCTCCTGGCTTTCAAAATCCTAAAATATTTATCAGCTTTCCTCATCTCAACACACACACACACACACACACACACACACACACTCTCTGCGTGTGCTCTCACTCTATCACCCACGAGTACTTCCCCCTCAGCCTGAGCCTTTCTGAGCCAAAGCATGTCTAATAAAACACTTTCTCCAGAAAAGCTTGCTGCAAAAAAAAAAAAAAAGTAAACAGGCTGGCAGCAGAGATGGAAAAGGGGTTTGATGGAGGAGAGAGATGCCTTCAAACCTAGGACACAACCCAAGTCAAGAGCAAAAGAGATTCCAGGGGCAAGAATGGAGACAGACGGTCAGGGTGTGAACAGACAGGCAGAGACAGAGAGAGAGGTCAAGGGCACCCAGGATTCTGCCAGAGACACAGAGACACGGGCCTTCAGAGGATGGAGAATCAGGAGTCAGGAGGGGACAGAGCCAGGCCCCAGGAGCAGGAGGGAGGAGGAAGGAGGGGGGAGGGGAAGGCAGGGGTGGATGGTGCCCAAAGGGGAGGGCTGCAGGAGGGGAGCCCCCAGACCCCTCCCTACCACAGAGGCCTGCAGCAGCCTCAAGGGAACTCTGGCACCCATGGGGTGAGCACCGCAGGGAGCAGGAGGTGTCCTGGATTCCACGCCTCCTTTTCAGACACGGCAGGACCCAGCTGTACCTGGAGGAGCAGAGCAAATCTGCACTTTGGGGTTCTGCCCGGTGCTCCCTGGTAGGGAGAGAGGACACAGGAGGAGGAGGTGCCCCGCGGTCTGGCTAACCTTTCCGAAAGCCCACAGGGTGCAGACCTCCTGCTCTCTGGGCCAGGTGGTGCCCAACGGGTGGCCGGGTCCAGGGCTGCCACTGGATCCCCTATGAGCACAGGACCACAAGCCCTCCACGGCCTGGCCCAGCCCCCACCCCAACTCCCAAGCTGGAGCTCTTCCAGGGGCGGGACTGGGGGAGGAGAGGTGGCAGGACTGCAAAATCTGGCGGCAGCAGGCAAGGTCTGGGAACTAGGCAGGGAGGACCAGCCGCCAGGCAAACCAGCTTCCTCTAGGTCACTACTACATACCAGGTCTTTGTGGGACCCCAACACCCATCCGACAAACATACCACCATCTCTGCTTTAGGGGTGAGCAGACTGGAGGGTCCCCTGGCTGAGCCAGCAGCCTGGGGGGGGGGGGCAATTAGGTAGGGGCAGGTTCCAGCTGTCCTGTCTCCCCTTTGCGCCCACTTGCCCCCTGCCACAGGCTAGGTACCAAGGCACAAGGCCCCTCCCACACTGGCCCAAGAAGCAGCCCCCTCCCCTCTATTCCCTGAGTCAGAGGCCAGCCCCTCCACAGTGCACCCTCTAGACAGGTTCTCACAGCCAGACCCCTGCAGTCCTGAACCCGAGAAGGCCGGCAGGGCAGGCCTGGGTCAGAAGGCAGCTGCAGGTGCAGGGCTGAGTCCACTCTCCCTGGGACCCAGGAGCTCTGGCCACGTCTGGCAGCGATACAGGGAGACCTCCCCCCCTCGATGAGTGAGTACACGTCCCCAGGGAGGCTCCCCCCTTCCCCCGCCCCCTCGGGCACCAGACTCCCAAACCACAGGCCTGTTGTCTAATAATACCAGCGACAGCCACCGCCACCTCCATCTGCCAGCCTAAAAATAATCCCTGCTGAGTCCAAAACAGGCACAGCCCCCAATAGTCCCCCAGTCGCTCCACTGTGACAAGCTAGGGGGTTCCAGGAGATCCCAGGAAGCTTGAATCGGGCTCCCCTGGAACACCCTTCCCCCCCACACCTGCACCCGGGAGATGCAGACCCAGAGGCTTGCATGAGGAAAGCAGAGGGAAGACTCCATACACATATAGGCAAGTGTAAGATGGAGAAACGGCCATGTCCACATGAGGCTGCACCCTGGTTGTCCTGTGCAGAAGATGGGTGGGCCAGAGGTCACTGGGACATTCTGCCTCCAGCCAGGACCCCCACACCCCGCCTAGGAGGTCCTTGGAGAAGTCCCCACCTTTTAAGGTCTCCCTGTAGCGCTCCTCATGGCCTTCAGCCCCCACTCCCCATCAACCTCTGAGGGTAGAAGTCAGAGATCAGGTGAGCCCAAACTGGCCCTCCCGTCATCTAACAAGGCACTGGGGGAGGGACAGGACACCCTTCCTCCGTGGGTGCCTCTCCTCCCTAACTCTCCAGCCCAGGCAGCCCAGGAGGCAGCAGCTATTAGCCACCTTAATTTGCTCCCGGCTAGATTGTATTTCCAAGAGCCTGTTCCCCAGGAGCCACTGGCAGGAAGCAGTCAGTAATCCAACCTCCGCTCTGCTCTCAGCTCCTCCGCAGAGAGGCCCAGCCACACCCACCCTGCCCACCGCTGGTGCAGGCCTGGTCCAGTGCCCCTGAGATGAGCCAGGGAGGGCCTCGGGTGAGGCGCCAGGTGGAAGCAAGTAAGCAGGGGATCGAAGCCCGAGTCTGCTCACAATGAAGCGTCAGCACTCCCTACTCAGAAGCCAGAAAACCAGGAGAGCAGCTTCTGCATGTTACCTGGACAGTGTATTACCTGCCACGGCCCAGCTGGCCAGGGGCCTGGACCAGGAGGGAGCTTGGGGGTGAGGGCGGGCAGAGGGCACCACCCGGTCACCTCCCTTTCAGAAGGACAGGCAGGCTGGCTGGGACCTCGCTCATAGCCTGGCCCACAAGGGATTGTTCTCCAAAACTCTTCTGGAGGCCCTGACTCTGCTCACCAGTCTCCTGCTTAATCACGCAAGAGAGAACAGAAAAGCAGGAAGATTCCTAAGAAAAATAGGTCAGCTGCCTCAGGCAGGCTGAGCTGGCTCCCTTGGGCAGTGCCCCGGCAGGACCAGGCTACAAGCTGCCTCCGCACCCAGCTCCCAACCCCCAGGGACCAAGTCCCTTCTCCATTCGGGAGTCTAGGCCACTGGGTAGCCAAGGTCAGAGCCACCGCTTAGCAAGTCAGACCCATCTTCTGCGTCCCCTGGCTCTGCCTGTGTCCCCCACTGAGGCTTTCTCTCAGAGCTCAGTCTCCCTTCAACCCAGCCCCAGGGCTGAGCCTCCAACTTTGGGAGCTTCTGGGCTGTCCATACTCAGGTGTGGAGCAGGGAGTGGGAAAAGCCGGGCATCTGCTCCAAGTCTAGCCTCACTGCCACCCACGGCCATCAGCAATCAGACAGGAAAGATGCCCCACCTCGCGCCTGGAGACTCTGGGTCTCCTGTCTGCTACATTCATGTGCATACGCATACACACAGTTGCACACAAAGGCAGGCGCACACACACACACGCACACACACACGCACACACACACACACAGATGTGTGCAGGCACTTCCAGCAGCTACCACCAGTGATGGCTCTTTCCACAATTCACAATCACTCTCTCACACAAACTGCTTTACCCATCACTGGGCACAGACAGGAGAGAGCTGCCCTGGGACCCTGGCCTAGCCCAAGGAGGCACGGACTGGAGGGGGTTGGGGAGGAGGGGAGAGGGGGAGGGAGTGCGGCTCTCCCTGTGGGCTGGGTCCATTCCCACCCCCTCAGCGCAGCAAGGCCCTGACAGCCAGGCCAGAGGCAGAGAATCTGAGGATGGTGAGCACAGGGCCCAGAGCCAGGAGAGACCGGGGTTCAGCATCTCCCAACCAGGCAGCCTCTGCTCCTTTGGGTAACCGGATCCTAGCTTTCTGTCTCAAAGCCTCAAACCTGAAACCACCACTGGCCCTGGCCCCTGGCAGCTCCGGGTCAGCACACGAGATGAGCTTGGGGCCAGCAGCTGAAAGATGACTCTTCCCACACATCCCCTCCTCAGCTTCTCCCAAACGCGTGCTGCCAGACACACCCCTGCCTGCCTCCAGCCACGGGTGCTGGGGACACACACACGCATGCCACATCCTGAGCCAAGTCCTGCTTAGCTGAGAGGCTGCCTGTGGGGGTCTCTCTAGCAGATTCCAGGCCTAAATGCCCTCCCTCGTTCCTTCACTGCCAAAGGGAGGGAGGGAGGGCCAGGCTGAGTAGAGGGCATTAGTCCAGCTACCAGCACAGTCTGGGTCAGAACCTGCTTTATCTGGGGACAGCGGTAAGCCAGGCACGGAATCTGTGGTCCACAAGAGGAGGCAGCCTTGGAGATAAAGGCCAGGGTCCTCCCTGCAAGCTTGCTCAGTGAAGGCCTGGGACTCAGGCTCTGCTCGCCACCTTCTAGGCTCTCTGCACGCCCTCCCCAGCCTCCGCAATGCCCCCCAGACACACAGGATTCAAGCCCACCCCTCCCTCTGTCCCAAGCCTTTCACTCCTCTGCTGGAGCAACCCCTGCTCAGCCAGACCCTAAGACCAGCATCTCAAAGTCCCTCCCAGCAAGAATCTCCCGAAGTCACCTCTGCCAGTCAGAGAACAGCTGAGCTCTCACAGCAGCCTCAGAAATACTGGCCCATCAGCCATCCCCCACTCCCAGAGGCTGCAGAGATGATGGCTCCTGGGTGTCCTGCAGCTTTTCCACCAGATTCCGGCCACTGACACAACTCCAGTTCTGCAGATCTTTCAAAGGATTTCCAAGCAGCCCTCCACATCTCCCTGGGCAAGGTCAGCGGGGAAGGCAAACTTGGTTCTGAACAGAGGCAACTGTCTGAACTCCCCCCGGGAACATTCCCAGTTCCCAATGCCCTGAACCATTAGGGGAAAGAAAGGGAACCAAGATCATCATCATTTACTTACTCACGATTTAGCAACTAAACCACCACCACCACAGAACACTCGGCCAGCCCCTCATTTCTTCATGGCACTAATGTTCACAAACACCCCACAAGCTCATACTGTTAACCCCCAATGAGGCAAGTGACAATCAGAGAAGTGAAGCAATGTGTCCAAGGTCACAGGCCAGCAAGTAGCAGCGCTGGACCCTGAGTTCAGGTCCTTTACTGCCACACACAGAGCCCCTAGGCTAAAAAGACACCCCTCCCAAAACCCACAGGGATGGCAGGCAGAGGCTCATGTCCAGCCACCCCCAACAGAAGGACCTCTCCACTCCTTGAAAGAAGGCAGAAGCTCCAGAACCAATAACCTTCAATGCTAGGAAGTCCTTCCTTCCGTCTGGCCCTTCTGTGTGCTGCTGTAATATAAGCACACATTTCCCTTGATTCTGTGCTTAAACTTGCAAAAAGTCCATCCTCCTCCCTGGACTTCTCAGGCTGGGATCCTATTTCAGAGCCTCCCTTCGATGTCTCTCTTTTATTCAAAGATCCCAATACATCCTTTCATGTGACAGTCCCATAGCAGGAACATACCACAAACTAAAGGGGAGGAGATGCAGGCATCAAGATTACAAGGCAATAGGGAAGGGGCGGGCACTGAGGCTGAAGACAAGTTCTGAAGCGCAGCTCAAGCCACCTCACACCCCACCCCACTCCACGAGCTTCTGTGGCCACTCTGGTCTGTTTCCCCACCTGACAAAGAAAGAGTTTTAAAACCACCCGGGGTCACACACCATATAACAAAATCACTCTTCTCTTCGCCTTCCTCTGCCTTTGATTTCACACCCCCGCAAACACCAGCGAGACTGATCCCATTCCAGAAACTTTCCCAAATCACTTCCCCTCCCCCTACACAGCCCCAGACAAGGTGAGCAAAGGGTCCTCCTGCGCGAGCGCGGCCGGGCGCTGGGTCTTCCGCTGTGGGTCCTCCTACTGCTTGCGGTCCACCTGGTGGTTCTCCCTGGAAGCCATCCCGGCCGGCCCTGGGGACGTGCCCGCAGCTGGGTCGTGTCTGCGCGCTGAACATCGCGCGCTCAGAGTCCGGGCACCTCCAGCTTCCATAGCAGGACGGAGAGCCGAGATGCCACACAGAGGCGTGCGGGCCGCTCTGCGGTCTCCAAAGCAAAAGCCCGCGTGCTTAAGCGCGCATCACCCAGCTCACTGGCTTCCCTCTGCCCTCTTCCCAGCTCAGACCGGAAACACAGAAAAAGGAAAACCTCCCTCCGCCCCGAGACGCAGCAGTGGAGACCCCCTCCCGCTGCTCTCGCCCACAGCAGCTGTGGCCGGCTGTGGCCGGCTGCGGCGCGCTCCCGGGGAACTTTTGCCCGGCCAGTGCAGCGGAGCCGGACGCGGGCAGAGCCAGCCGAAGTCGGCCGCTCCTCAGAGCAAGCGAGAGACCCCGCGCGGAACCAGCTCTTCCCTAGCGGCGCTCCGTGCGCCCCGCCCTGCGAGGGGATCCGATCTCCGGCTGCCACGACGTGTGGTCCGAAGGGACTCGAGCCCAAGCCGAGCCCGCACCGGCTCCCCTGCGGACCGGTGGCACTAAGCGGGGTCCAGCGTGCCGCAGCCAACCGAGGACCAGAAAACTCCCTGGCGGCAGAGTTGAGAAAGCCGCCGCCTCCCCAGCGCTCGAGGCGGCGGCTGCGCCAGCGAAGGGTACCGGGCGCGGCACCCTCTGCAAAGCCCTGGTGCCAAGGGTGGCGACGTGGACCCTAGCCCGAGGCGTTCTCTCCCGAGCGCCGGCAGCCCGAGTTCAGGCCCTTCCCGCCGACCGCGAATACGGCCCCCGCCCTCCCCGCGGTGCCCGGAGCGCGCCCGCCGGGAGGGCGCGGGCTCAGCAGGAGGACGGAGCCAAGATCCGCGGGAGGCGCAGGGGAGGGACGCTGCACTTCAACTCACCTTGAGCCGCAAGACCTCGGGCGCTGATCACACTTGCTATCAAAGTGGCCACATACCAAATCATAGTACTACCGCGCGCCAGCCAGGAGCCTCATCCTATCGCAAAGTGCCCCGCGCCGCCTACGCCCCGCGCCGGTGCTCTTGCGGCTCCTGCGGCTCCTGCAGCCCGGGCGGCCAGCTCCCCATCCCTCCGCGGATCCGCTCGGCTCGGCGCGCAGCCTCCCGCCCGGCGCAGCGGCACCTGCACTGGAGCCCGGGCGGAGCGCAGCCAGGGCCACGGAGAAGCCCGGCCGTACCGCCCCGGGCCCGCCCCCGCCGCACTCCCATTGGGCGCGGTCAGAAAGCCCGGGGCCCGATTGGCCGGGATGCCTGCCCGTCGCGTCGAGGGGGGCGAGCCCATTCAAGGTGCGTTGACGTGTGGCAAGCCCAGAGCCGCAGAATCATGCGCATTGCCGGGGAGAAGGCGCTGCCGCGTCTCCGCTCGGCTCTGCTCCCTGCTCCCACTGCATGGCAAGTTTCTGGGGGAAGGAATGTGGCCGCCGGGCCGTCCAACGGGACCCTGGAGTCTCTGCTACACTGTAGGTCTGAGGGGTCGGCGCCCCCCGCCCGTCGAGGGAACCCAGCATCCGTTTTCCATCCAGCAAAAAGGCGTCCCGGGAGGACGGTGCTGATTCAGTGATGGGGAAACCCGGGAACAGCAGCCTGGGGAAGCTAAGAACGTCCTTCACTGGAGATCTTTTCAAAGGGGTCACGCGCTACTGCCACCTCCCCTCCTCCCTTCCACACTCGGTCACTCTTTCCTCCCCAGCGCACTCCCTGCCACCCAAACATGAGATTACGTTAAACTCCATCCAGCATGAAGGCAGGGGGATGACTAAAATGACCTCTAAAAGTGGCTAAGATTTGGGGTGAGTCATTGGCTCAGCTGCAGGAGTGTCACGGGCCCCCCTCAGGAACACACGTGTGCACACTGCCACCCCCAGTGCGGGTCATAGTTGCTCATCGCCAGGAAGTCTCCACTTTGAGCAATGAAAGTGTTCCTTCTTCTAAAAAGACTGCCTCCTCAAGCACAAGATTCCTCCCCCGTCCCCACCTGCCTGGGAGCCTGGCCCCATCTCAGCAGGAAGAAGCCAAGATGGATTTGGGGAGCAGTGTAGGGATCTGGGACAAGGGACCCAGGGAAGGGGAAGGTGGTCTTCTTATCCTTATAGAAGGGGATAAGGAGGTATCTAGGTGTTCATATTTCTCAACCTCCCCCCTCCCCCCCCATTATAGTTGTATTTGCAGAAGAAATAAACCAGCGTCATGGAAACATCTACAAACAGTCCCCTCACACCAGAGACCTGAGGCTGCAGTGAAGATGTCTGATCTTTCACAGCGAGAGCAGAGGTGAGAGGGGCTCAGTTCCCCAGGATGGGCAGCCAAGGGTACTCAGGAAGGTCACCCTCGTCGCCATCACAAAGCACTTGTCAACCACAAAGCACTGGCTCTAGCGTATGAGGCTCAAAGGGAAAAAAAGAAGAAAAAAATGAGGGAAACTTGCTTGTAAGAAACACACACAGACACACAGACCATGCATGGAAGGTGGCCTGAACATGGGAGGAACAGCCTTCCCTGAAAGGTGAAGCCTCTTAGCTCACCACCAGCCGGGACATGGAAAGCTGGAATGCCCCTTCCTGGCACAGCAGCAAATATATTGGGCAGTCTAGCATCTGGATGTAACCTGGAGAACCAGAACGCTTAAATGACCTCCTGCCCTGTCCAGCCACTCTAGTTATGACTTGTAACTCTGCTCGTGCAGAGATGCTTCTCCCTGAGCCCTCACTTTAGGGTCTCTTTCTCTGCTAAGATGCCTTTCTTGGGGATGTGAAGTGAGTTGGAAGCTAATTCCCAGCCAGGATGCCCAAGAACTAGAGCTCCACCCTCAATATATACATGCACCCACGGTCCTAGGGTTTTGAGCCTTGCTAGGATCCACTTGAAGAACTGGCAATAACAGGATTCTCTTTCCAGAACCTCTAAGCATCTATCTGGCCTGAAGAGAAATGCTGGACCCCCAGGGCTGCCTATGTCCCTAGCCCTTTATAGGTAGAAACATGGCTGAGTGGAAAATGTTCTTCTAGGGACCTGAAAGGTAGGGGAGGGGGCAAAGCCACTATCACCATCATCTTGATTGTTTTTTCTTGACCATCAACTTTTTCCCGCTTTGCATGGTAATTTCTACTAGGGAACTGAAATTGTCAAACTGAAAGGAAAAAGTAACACAAAGAGCTTAAGAGCATGAGTTGAATTGAGAAGGGGTTCAAAAGAACTATCTGAAAAGAAGACTAATTTCTTCTGGATAAATCTATTGGAAATGCAGTGGAACAAGGGGGTGAAGGCAGAGAGGAAAAAGAGAAGAGTTGAGATTCAAAAGGAAAAAGTTAGGGTCATCATCAGATGTGTCTCAGATTTGGTTTCAGATCAGCTCAAAAGTGATACAGAGTGTCGGGTCACAGTGAGGAATGAGACCAAAGAAGTCTTTCCCTTTTGCCACATAGCTAATCTCCAGACCCAGGAAGGATGGGACACATCCAGTGATAATCTCAAGGCGAGTGTGGACCCCAGCATCCAAGAGGGACGTGAGGGAAGGTGTGAGCCACTCCCAGGATGTACACCACTCTCAGCGTACCTGGTTAGTTATCAGCACCTCTGATAATACAGATGTGTGATAATACCTTACATCAAGTAAGGAAATAGATGTCATCTCTCCCACATTTTAGAAATGCAGTATGCTAGTCTTATAGGTTTCTCCATGTAAAACCAGCTAGCCACCTATCCACACTTCCCCCTGGGCCCCTAGAGGATGAGTGTCTGCAAAAGCTTCAAGTCTAGAAGAAGAGGAGGCAGGGACTCCTTCTTCACATCCACTGAGCCGTAGGACTCAAAACCAGGAGTTCAGTCACCCTGCTTGCTCAGTCGTTCCAGACCCTTTGTGGAACCCTAGTGAGGATGTTCATCAGAGCAGGTGCACAGTTAAGTACCAGAGAGGGTGTTCATGTCTCTATAGTCAGGGAACCATATCAATTTTCTCGCTGTATAAAAAACCACCGCAGGGCTTCCCTGGTGGTTCAGTAGTTAAGAATCCACCTGCCAGTGCAAGGGACACAGGTTCAATACCTGCTCTAGGAAGATCTCACATGCCACCGGGCAACTAAGCCCTGCCCCACTACTACTGAGCCCACGCTCTGCAACGTGAGAAGCCACTGCAATGAGAAGCCCATGCATCACAACTTGAGAGTAGCCCCCACTCGCTGCAACTGGAAAAAGTCCATGCAAAAGCAACGAAGACCTAACACAGCCAAAAATAAATAAATAAATAAATTTTTTAAAAATCCCAAAATGTAATGACTTATGATAGCTCAGTTGGTAAAGAATCTACCTGCAATTCAGGAAACCCTGGTTCAATTCCTGGTTCGGGAAGATCCTCTGGAGAAGGGATAGGCTACCCACTTCAGTATTCTTGGGCTTCCCTTGTGTCTCAGCTGGTAAAGAATCCACCCACAATGCAGGAGACCTGGGTTCGATCCCTGGGTTGGGAAGATCCCCTGGAGAAGGGAAAGGCTCGCCACTCCAATATCCTGGCCTGGAGAACTCCATGGACTATATAGTCCATGGGGTCACAAAGAGTTGGACATGACTGAGTGACTTACACTCACTCACTCAAAATAAGAGTCATGTATTTGCTCACACATCTGCAGTTTGGGCAGGGCGTGGTGGGGACAGCTCCTATGGCATCTGACCAACCAGGGGAGGGAAACTGTGCTTTGTAGATGCTCACTCACGTGATCAGCAAGTGATGCTGACTGGCAGCCAGGGCTGCAGGCGAAGAAGTGCAGTTCCCCTCCAGGTGGGCTTCCCCTTGGGTTTGGAAGCTTGGGCTTCCTCACAGCATGGTGGCTGGGTTCTCCAAGCTGGCATTCCAGTAGAACCAGGCAGAAGATGTACTTCCCTTATGTCCATGCCCTGGAGGAAGCATAGCGTCTCTTCCACCAGCGTCAAAACCCTGCTCTGATTCCAGGGCAGAGAATGTAGATCTATCTCTCAATAGGAGTGGTGTCCATGGCTTCTGGGCTGGGAGGTCCTGCTGTATCCTCTGAGGGATGATACAATTTCCCGTGAAAACAGTCTCCAAAGTGTAGCCAAAAATTACTCTAGAGGGAATCCCTGGAAAGAAAGGGTTTGTAGACAGACAGTGTCTAGATCTTAGAATTTTCTCACTTGAATTCAAGCTGCCACGCCAGTTCCAGGCACACAAGGGCATGAGGGTGACTGTTAGAGAAGCCTAGACCATTTGTGAAGCAAATTCTTTCACCTTGTTTTCTCTCAATATGCCAGAGACCAGTCAGCATGTTTAAAAGAACTTGGAAGGAGAGAAGAAAATAAACAAAGGAAATTGGATTTCCGAAGTATAAATATCTCATCTTAAGATCTGATGCAGAAGTGTGTGTTGTGGGGGGGAAGCTTTGCAGGATTCTAAACGTTCTCATCATAAGAATTTTCCGTTTCTGCTCAAAATGCTCACAGTTCTTCGTAGGCACCTGCAGCCTTCAGCCGCACGTTGTTTTTCTGGACTTGAATAGCTACTCTAGCAGTCCACTTTGTCCTCCCCAAAAATAAATTCCTGGAGACTTTCCTTATTAAAACTCGAACTTCATTATGATTCAAATTTCCCAGAATAGCCAGTGTTCCCCTACTCAGTTACAATTTCCCTGAAGGCCATGTCTTGGTTAGATGCAGGTGCTGACTGGCCCAGAGTCAGATCCAGTCCTTCCTGGCATAAGACAGCTGTTCCAGCCACATGGGATCATGTTATGATGTCTTGTCCAGATGGGTCCCCAAGCATGGGAGAGGGTCTACCAGAACCCCACCCATTACAGAATGTGACACTTCTGCACCATGTAAATGGGGGGATCTAGTGATTGGGGAATAACACCCTCCCAGACCTGCCATGTATCTGCAGAGCAGACTTCTCACACGCTAAGCCTTAAGTCCAAATCCTTAAAGATGTGTTTATAGCATCTTTCATAGAAATTACATGATAAATCAGTTCTTCAAATTTTAGCCAAACTGTATTCTTTTATTCTCTGGCTGAAAAATGATGAAGTTCTTGCCTTCAGAAGAAAGCAGATCCATAATTTAGGATGATTTTATCTGAAAATTAAATGATGATCCTCTCAGCCTTAACAACCCCACTCCACTTCCTT